AGAGCATCATCTCCTTTCTATTATATTTCTAACCCCAAACAAAAAATTGCAATTGAATCCGAGTCTCAATTTTTGTTGTTGTTGTTGTTTTTTTTTTTTTTTTGGGGGGGGGGGTTGGGAGGGATGTAGTTACATGACGGGTATGCGAGCTTCTATAGCATGCAGAAAAGTACTTGTTTTGAGGGAATATCTGATATTCAAATTTTTCATAAAAGAATCACAGAAACTAAGGTAAATCATATATAGTTATTATGCTACTCGCCGATAATACACTTACTGTCTTTCATATTGGAATAAAAGTGATAAGATTTCAGCATAATGGTTATGGTAAATAAATACGGAAACAAAGAGATCTCTCGGAAGTACCAATCAAAACAAAATAACATGAAAATTGCAGGCTCGGTTTGACTGAGTTTGTACATGAGGAATAATGAATAAAATATGATAAACAAGATCAACAAGGAAAGGCGGCATTCAATGGACGCAACGCAATAAGTGCAACGTTATCCACGCCCCCAGCACCGGACTGAGCGGTATTCAGTTCTCATCATTTAATAGTGCTGGCAACAATGATCCCGAAGGACCAGAAAAAACAACAACACTGTGTTTACTTTGCTTATTTTGTAACATAGACTGTCCAAGTCTACGTTTCTCAACATTTTTATTATAAGGTATGCATCAAAACAGTATTGTATATCTCTTTCATGATAACACATAGACTATCTGTACAGACATTGCGATAACAATGAGGCTTGTTTTGTAATTTTCATGTATATTTGCAGATTGTCTTTCAAATTGGACGATTTGACTTCCTGTTAAATTTACAAGAAAAAAACTAGATACAATATTAATTCCATTTCGCACAAGCATTTCTATTCGTGCCGAGACTCATTTTTGTTACGCCGTGCAAGCGGTCAGGATATATATCCTACTCATGGTTCGGTAATTGCTTAAACAAGTAAGATGCTTGAATACCGCCAAATAATTTATATTAAAATACATGTATCAGATTTTTACGTTTATTCCACTTGTCTTGCCTGAGTTTTTTCTTTTGCATTTTGTAGCTACTTCCTTAGAAAAATAATTATTTCATAGCTGTCAACAATACAGCCTTGGTCGTCCTGGATCGCTCATTTGAGATATGTTGCTAGAAATTTCTATTTTTCAACATTAAAGTCAGTAATGAGATTGAGATTGTTATTTTTACCCTAAGTACACAGCTGCTAGCTGTCTTCTACGAAATGTTTTATGACGAATCGCATCTGAGCATTGGGTATAATTATTTCACACAAGAATACTTACAATTCTTTATAAATTAAGACCATTTTACTACACAAGTTTAGGTGAGTGACCCCTTGAGCGTTGCCATTTTTTTACCTAAGAGGCATGCCTTATACCACTTTTGCTATATGCCAAATATCTAAGGTTTTGACATGTAGTTCAACAAGTTTTTTGTTGTTTTTTTTTTGTTTTTGTTTTTTTTTTTTCTATGTAAACTAGTCTCCCGGGACGCAGTCTATTTTTAGAGTAAGGGCATGAGTTGTAATTTTTTGTAGAGGACAACAAGGTGATTCTATATACCGAATATATAATGTTCTTGCAACAGAAGGAGGCTATCAAGATATATAATATGATAAACTAGATCAACAAGAAAAGGCGGCGCTCAATGAATGCAAACCCCACACGACTAAGTGCTCAACAAGAACAAGTCTATATAAATAAAATTGGGTCCGGTGCGGGTCCAGTTTTGACCCCAGGGTCATGATTTACTTGAATTTTGTAGAGATATACTTGTAAATACAACATGCCAAATATCTAAGTATGCAGTTTTTTGTATAAGAAGACTTAAATAAATGATTTTTCCTATATGAGCCTATGGTAATTGACGGGCAATGATTGATACAAAACGTGTACAGGAACATAAGGCAATGCAACATGTCAATTATCTTAGCTCTTGCATTGTAACTTTTGAGAAGAAGATTTGTTAAAGATTTCATTTTTGACTATATATTTAGTTCTTGTGACCTACTCATGCATTAAACCGAAACCAATTATATAACCTTTAAAGAGGACCACCACAGGATCATTCCTGTGAAATTTGGTTGAAATCAATCAAGTGGTTAAATAGGAGATGTTGGTTAAAGTTATTGGATAACGACGAACGACAGACGCATTGCCATCACAAAAGCTTGCCACTGAGTACCTTGTGCTCAGATGGGCTAAAATGTGGCATTTATTGGGTCTCAAACTTCAGACCGCTTACTTTTGAAGCGAGTGTCCTACCACTGGACAACGGCCAGTACATGAAATTGCGCCAAAATCTGGCGAATCAATGCAATGATTTACCGTTATGTCAGGGAAGGTTATTCAGTTTTACATCGAATTTTAAACAAATTTCTTTTTAACGAAAGGAAATCGATTGCTTGAATCTACATTTTTGATTTGTCAATATAATAAATATATTTTATGTACTTGCAACAGAACGTCATTTATAACACCACTATATCACATATTTTCCCGCAAAAATATATGCCGCTCCAGCGCACTTGCAAAAAGTAAATTAAATAGTCAAATATATGATAAACAAGATCAACAAGAAAATGCGGCGTTCAATGAACGCAACCACCACACGATCAAGCAACAAGAACCAGCGACAATGAGACAGGATGATCCCAAACAAAAACAGGACACGGCAGAAGGTAGAGCACGAACAGGATAATCACTTAAATGATACATAAAAGAAAATAATAATAACCGACAAGGAAATTAAACAAGAAATCAAATATTTGAATGTATAAAAGGCCCGCAAAGTAAAAGGGTACAGGGGAAGGGGACTTGAGATTCGGGGAATGAAGGGGCAAAAGTTTAAAAAAAATAAAGTTAGGGGCGAAAGGGAAGACATTTACCCTAGACGAGAAAAGAACAAGCGACACTAACAAAAATGGCACCAAAAAGCATGAAACAACAAAGACATACATCTGAGAAACACAGTGGGGCATCGCTTTGGGACGGTCAGGAGCATAAATACTGCTGGGGAGTACACACTGTGTATGAGTTTTTTATATCTCATTGGACAAATGTCCATAAAACATTGTAAAATGTACTTAACATAACAGTAATCATTCGTTAACTGTGGGTTTTTTTTCGTAACAATTTGATTGGTTCGCGATTTTAAATCAAAGGACCGCTTGTCACAAAGAACATACTGTTAAATCAGTTTATAGTTTAGAAATTTATAGGGCGGCGTGTTACGTACCTTATTAAAGCAATTTTCTAACCAGTATTTTATCTAAGCTTTAGAAATGTTTTCAAATCTACAAATCTATCAATTGATTTTCAACCAGTCATACTGCACAGGAACGATGCCGTGGCTGAACGCTACTCAATGAAATGCAATGTGACTAACTGCCGTAATCCAAAGTGAAAACTACCAACACCAACACCTCATATATATTCAGTATGATTTTTGCTTTGTTTCTTTTTTTTAAATATGGCTTTTTAATATATTTCCTTACAAAATGCATTTTAAGTCACAAAGGGCCAATTAAAACCAAAAAATATTTTTTAAAAGACACTAGCTTTTTTATTTACATTTTCCTATCCCCTAACACATTCTGTAAGTCCTAGAAAATAGTACAAACGGGCAAAACCCGACGTATGACTACAAACGTTCCCCCAATTCAATAGTCTAATCCGATTTCGGCCCATGATAATAAAAAAGAAAGTTTAAAGACTAAGAAATTTTTTAAACGTATACACTTTAAAAACATAATCTTAGTATCTTCCCTTTTTTAAAAACAGTTTTTTTAACTAATAAAAAATTCGTATTTTAACCGCCAAAAATGTGTATCAAAATAAAAGCATTGATTCCCCATAAATATGTTTTTTACCTTGAAAAATACCTTTTAAAAGTACAAAAAAGGAAAAAGATTCATATTTCTTTATCTAACTAAAGTATATCATCTGATTATCATACTAATTATGTTACACAAGACATGGTGCATTATTATCTTTTATATTTACAGTACAGCAATCTACATGTTAACGGTGTCAAAACGTAATTTTATTGAGTTCAAGTTGTAACAAAAGCAACAGTCGAAATTCGATGTGCGGTTATCAAAATCGCTTTCTTTTTTTATTTCCCGAAAGATTTAAGTATTTTAATTGGCGATTGTTTTTATCTGACATTTTCGTTTTAGATATGAGAACAAAATTAAAATCCTTAACACCTTTTATGCAATTTAAAACCTTCGTTCGTTTCCCTTATTTTTTTATACTTTTAGATTTGAATCGTATCTAAAAGCGGTAAGTGAACAAGTTTTATCTAACAAACAAATCGGTTATATTAAGAACTCTCGTACTCATAAATCTTAATTGCCTGTATCACTATCACAAGGTGTTTAAAAACAAAAAGTCACAGAGACTGACTACATATCAGGTTCGAGAGTTTTCAAGCGATAGAACAATATTGTCCTTGGTAGATTAATATTCGGTAGAATCCCTACTAATGACCACCTTGGAATTAAAACCGCCCCGCTTATCCACTTTTAAGGCCATCATATTCAGTCCCAATTCTTTGTTTTGTTCTTTATTTGACCCCACTATTGAGACCACTGATTTAAAGTCAGTACATATACCGACCTATCTTTAATTTGACCCTGACGATGAAGGTCATTTAAATCTCAAGGTCAATGTCAGTTCAACTTTATAGGAAAACTTGTTCAAATAATAAATTTATCCAAGTATAAGGATAATTCAATAATTTATTGAAAAAGTACAGCCAACTTTATTTTAGCACAAATCAGTGAATATTTAATAATTTTGCATTTTTTATCAAATTTAAAAAGACAATCAATGCAAAAATAGCAAAGTATTATCCATTAATAGCATAAATCAGTGATATTAAACATAATTCAGACGTTTTAATTTGAAGGTCAATGTCATTTATTAAAAAGGTCATTGTAATTCGTGTGTGCCTGAATTTCTTCGAAGAAAAGGCCGAGCTCAAAAGGCAACAGATAAATCAAAATTTACCAAAATCGAAGAGAAAGTAATAATATTGCTTTTCTTCTAAAGTAGCTGACGTTGTAAAAGAAACAGTTTTTCCATTGATCTTGAGTTTATTTGTATCTGAGGCATCAATCTGTTCAAGCTGGTATCCTGTGTTATTATACAGTCTGATGAAAGATGGTCTTGATGCCCGTAAAACCTGTAAGATAAACCAGTGTTTAAGAAATATACAACTAAGCACCTACAATAGCTTATCCACGGACAGGCATTTTCCAGAAAAGTATGTAAATGTAGATAAAAGTCTTAAAAATACATAAATATATTCTGCTGTATTTACACTAAGTAGTTACTCAAATTGACTGCATTGTATTCTTGTTTACACAATTTATAAACTATTCTCATTAGACTAGTTCTAGTTACATAACAAACACATATCGCATTGATTTCTAGAATTTCAAAAGAAAAAAATGCAAGTATTTCACATTTCCATCTGTTGATATAGTCCATTTTGTATTGTAAGGATTGACTTTTCCTGGAGGCATTTGTGAATCTTTCAGCAGTGACGGAGGTGAAACTGAAACAAAGATTATTGTGTTTAAGCATTAACCCGCTGGACTAAAAGTTATGTATATTTTCCGACGGTATTAGGCTAAATTGTGGGCTAGGTCAAACTGTATATCCATGCAGTCAAACTAACCTCTATATAATGTTAGATTACTAACTTTAATCTATATAAGAACGACACTGATAATACAATAATACTAGCAATCCTGACATCAACAGGAAATGCAATATCTTTCACAGTTCTTCATAAATAGACTTTAACCTCTGGTCGTCATAAACGACTTTATCATCGTCTGATATATTTATTTACAATTTTATTATCGCTTGCTGTCGGTGGTTTTTTTTTTGGTTTTTTTTACAAATAGGTTACATACATTTACAAGCCGGGCGTTATCAGTTTATAAAAACGTGCTGTGGTGTAAAAATGAGACCAGTTTCTATTATCTTTACACTGTGTTTATTTAGGGTGGCTATACAACGTTGCCGGTGACATCAGAAATGGTCTGTATGATTTCCTTCTAAGTGTGATTTTGTAATAAAAATATGTTTATTTTCTTTGAACAATTATTAATTTGTTGAAGTCAGCGATATTGAAGCAGTTATGCGGTTCTGCAAATGACATTGAGTCTTGTCTGTTACCCAGGATCGAGCCCATTCTTTTCCCCCATGTAAAACCACTGTTTATTGTTGTATAATTTGTGTTTGTATTGATTTTAAATTCGTGCTAAAGGGGTAAACCATTTCTTTTTCGCGGCGGCCCAAATACTGAATAATTATTTATAAAAAATATTAATTAAATCTAGGTCATTAGTAAGGGTACATTAATCAAAACTGTGTCAAACTACACTGAAGCAAATGTTTTGCTGAAGTTCTATTTGACAAATGTTATTCTACAGTTGCTTGGAGGAAATGATAGACATTTTCTTTGAGTTATGCCGCTTTTTAAGACAAATGCAGTAAGTTTACTCATTGAAGCATAGCAAAATAATAGAGATAAAATCATTCTTAATTTTGCATAATCCTGCAAATGAATTAACAAAAAACAAAACTATATTTTGATTTATCTGCTTCATAAATTGATCTAAAATGTGAAAAAAATCCACTTTCAAGTGCAATTATCTTTTAAAAGTAGCATGGTGACACCCTGTTTTTTCATGATCCTCTTTAATCAAATTATCTGCGCTTGTTTAAATTCAAGGTAAAAATATTATTAAAATTTCCGATAAGTTATTCGACTTAGTCCATATTCAAATCTGGTCAAAACGTGAAACATTTCAATTATGTATTTCCTCTTACTGTACAAGACTAATATAAAATAGAGGTATAAACATCATGGACGGTACTGGTAAGTGCAAGTTACCGTTCACGCCCAGCAAAATTCAACATTTAACATGAACTGGTAAAGTTTGGATTTTTTAAACATCCGCATATGTATTCATATGGCGGTTATCATGGAACCTTCAATATGACATGTTAATGCCATTCCATGAAAAGCGGCATATGGTCCTCTAGTAAAGTAAAATGCGTGTGCCCTAAAGCTACAGTCTCGCTTACATCCCGGCAGAGCCCCGGTAGACGTCAGGGATGATCCGGAACCAACCGGGGAACGACCGGGAACAACCGGAGTACATCAGAAACTCTGCCGGCAACGTCCGGGATGATCCGGGAACATCCGGCATTTGACCCTGGATTGAATAAAATATTTAATATCACCGGGGTGGTCCGGGATGAACCGGGAAGGTATAGCTTTGCCGGCTTCATCCTTAGCTCTGCCGGAAACGACCGGGGTTATACCGGGGAATTACCGTAGCTCTGCTGGCACAAACCGGGGATGATCCGGGGTATGATATAGCCGATATAGCTACGGTAGAGTCCCGGTATATGCCGACAGAGCCCCGCTAACTACAGGCAGAGCCCCGGAGGATAAAGGTAGAGCTACGGTTGATCCCGGTAGAGCCCCGGCAATAATTTCATCCCGGATCGTCCCGGATCATCCCGGTAACTTACCGGGATGGTCCTGGGCTCTGCCGGGAGTAAGTGCGACCGCAGCTTAAACGAGAAAACAATGGGCGGAACTAAATAAAATGGAATATTGAAAGGGGATCAGAAGTTACGCAACCTGCATATCACATAAATGTGTCAAAAGACACATTTAAATAGCAGGCCCACATTATAAGGGTTATTCAGCAGTATTCAAGTTAGGAATAATGGAACCGCCTAGAAAACAGCCGAATAGAAAGAACTAAAATACCACAAGCACAGCAATAATGTCGTGCTGAACGATCTTTATGGATCGAAAAGATAACATCCCTGATTGAATGAATGGTGCGACTTTTTACACAATAAAGTCAGCAAAATTTGTTAATGATTGCCATTTTGAATTTACAGTTTATGTTCATACATGAATATTATCTACATTTGTACTTACTTCCTGCAAGTAGTGTTACACATCTCTTGTCACTCTCAGTTCTGAAAAATAAGGTTCATTTATAACACTTTTTTGGATAAATGCAATTCAATGATATGCTTCACTTTTAAACCCTTAGTAGGGCTGGCTCCTTTATAATTCACAAATATTCAAGTTTGACAAATGCAGACCAAGATTATCAGGCCCAACCTGCAGTTCGATCCTGAAAATTATGTACTGTTCGCTTTTCTTATGGTACATATTATGATATTTTCCTTGCAAAAGAACAATTGTCTTGTCCATATTGAAAAATGAACAAATTTATTTACGATTTTCATTGTTGCAAGTGTTAACATGCAGCTTTTCTAATTTTGAAAATACTCATGTCTCATACAAATCATGCATGCTTATTGTATCTTATTGCTTTGAATGAATTGTTCCTATTCTCTCATGTATACATTGACTGTATTGAAATATCTATTTAGTGGTACTTTTTTGTCACAAGTAGTTAGAGATGAAAATTTATTTTCTCGTTTTAAAACATACCTAGTAGAACTTTCGACAGCAGAAAAGCAAAAGGTGTTCCTCACATCCCTGTTTGTAGGTGACCATGAGACATTCATTCTCCAATCAGTTGAAGATACGTTGTATAGGTGACCCTTAGTCATACCAAGCGGGGATATTGTCTTGATTTCGGATATACTAAAATGTAATCTTGATTGTAGCAATGAACTTTGTAAGAAAAAATGTAATTAATTGGATTATCTAATAATGTTAGAAATTACTAAAAATGTTTTTACATTACGTAAAAGAGATGCATTCAAATATTTTTATAATCTGTATGTTACATTTAAAATGAAGTATTTTCTACCTCCTGTTTGCATTTACAACACGTGCAACAATTGCTACACGAAGCACTTTGTTGAAAGGTACGCCTATGCAAGCGCTATTTGGAGGTGTTGGATCTACAAACATTGTAGTCTTTTCGCAAGAACTACTACCATTGTAAACGTTAAACAGGAACTGAACAGGTATACTACTGAGCGGTGTTGTCGAGTTAACATCGGCAAAGTCTTCTACTTGAATTGGAACAGCAAACCATCCAGTCTGTTTGGCTTCATATGTTATTGTACATGTATCCTTTAAGATGAAAAGCCAAGTAGTTAAAACAAACAAACAAGTAATAAATATGAAATGTTTTTACCTGCACAGTAAGTATTGTTTTAAATTCACCAAGTGTCTGAAGGTTTCAAGTCTATTACTGTAATCATTTCACGTGTTTATATACTAAAACGATATTCGATCTTGTCCGAAGAATGTTTACCAAAGGAAAGGGAAAATTTCAATTTAAACATACTTATTACATTACAGTTAATGTCTACCATTAGAGAGACTTTTTATATTAGAATGTGGTTCTTGTTATGTCCAAAGTATTGAGCATTTTGTATCAAACAGTAAGTTGCGTAGTTTTTGTTCACATTAGACAAAAATAACAAAATGGCTTTGAAACAAATGAAAACTCGAATTTGATGAAAATACAGAATGATTAGACGATAAACTGATTTTAAATAATTATAGAATTACAGGCGATTCAGGCTGTTAAATGGGAATAATTAACTTTGTAATTATACAAAGTTTACTCAACTTTAAATCACTTATAGATACTGCGATATTACAATTGAAAACTAATGCTATGAATACAATAAATCATGAAAACGTAATTGTGATTATTCGTAAATAATGAGTGTTAATATGGTCACTTACAAAATTCATAGAAGCATTTGGTGGACTTTCGCATACGCTGCCACATTCAGTTTTAGAATTCTTTGCCCAGCGACATTTCACAATGTCATTATCAGGATCACTTACTAAAATATAATTATTACCATATATACATCATTTCAGAAAAAATACATTAAATCAAATGATTGAACAGTATACAATCAGACAAAAAGAAGAACGGTGTAAGATTATTGACTAGCAAAATGACATCATATATTTTTCAATTGTCTTCAAAACTTTGAATTAGAGGTGCTTCTTTATCACATTAACCTTTTAAAAATTATAAAAATAATTGGTTCTTAAAGCTGATTTGTATTTCGCCGCCGCCACCGAATACAGTAAATAATTATTCATTTTCACTTAGAAGTTTCGGATTATATCCCAATTATTCTTGCATAAATGTAACTAAATTTGCCGGTATCCAGTTTATCTAGCAGGACTCATTTCTGTTACCTGGTATAATAATTGAATGATTACAACCACGTTGCAGTCGAACAATTGGAGATATCTCAGCCGTTGGCGATGAATTTATTCGTCCTATATCTGATCTTGTTTTCAAATTAGCTCTAGCCCGAAGCATCCAAGACCCGCTAGATCCTACTACCAACTTATCTATCCAAGCTTGTCCTGAAAATCTGTTAAATAAAAGTAAAACAATGCCAGAATGCAAATAAATGGACACTAACTGGTTTAACATCTTAACAGACTGCGCCTGCATTGATAGATTGATAATGTTGTTTTGATAACAATGTTTTGTAACAAAAAGGAATTTAGAAAGTCTTGGGGTGGTATACATACCTTTCAAAATATTTCTTTTATAGCTTTCTATTAGTTACATTTATCATGATAGCTCTACTCTCCATGTATCTATTTTATTTCTTACAAGAGCCTGTCTAGAAGTGATATTAAATATTAAGAGTATGCAACAGTTTAAAACGACAATGATATCAATTTTTATGCATATCTTATCCAATTATGGGTGTTATGAGTTTATGGCGAAGAAATTCAGAGGTATGTCAAAATCTGGAAACAAAGTGATCCCTCGGAAGCATTAATCAGAGAGTTGCAGACTCGGTTTGATTGAGTCTGAACATGATTAATAATTAATACGTGCAACATCCCTCACGCCCCCAGCACCGGCTTGAGCGGTATTCAATTCTCAACACTTTATAGTGCTAGCATCAATGATCCCGAAGGACCAGAAAAATATAACACCACTGAAACAAACAAACCCGAATTCAAAACTTTTCGAATAGCCATAATAAGAATAATAAGGATTTAACGTGGCTATTATTCGACCTCTCCCGGATGACCAGTCTTCATTCACACTATAATCTGTACATTTATAGTAAAGTTGTCCGAGAAAACCTTGGCAGTTTTGAAAGCATTCGATTGATCCTTCACCACCAATTTTATTTCCTTGTTGTATGATGTCATCATCACAAGTAAATTTAGAACTGTACGTCATTCTCCATGAAATACGATATTCTATAATAACTTCATTCTGAAATAAGAAGGTTTAAGATATCGATTTATCTTTCCACCAGGCATTCATTTAACAATTATAGTTTAACAAGTTAGTGTTTTGCTGATTGTATGATTTTAAAATTGCCTTTTTAAAAGTGTAAAAATTCGATAAAAAAAGCCTGAAATTGTACAGGTAAACAAATAAATAACTTGTACAAATAAATCAAAACAATTACATTTCAAATATCACTTTTCTAAGTATGGGATACTTTTTTATTTTAAAATTTTTATATAAAAAACAAATCACGCATATATAGACAGCAACAACAACATTTAAATAATAATTATGATAATCAGACCATTTTGAAGTGTATCCCTTGTTAAAAAAATATCTAAACCATGGCAAAGGAAGAACTTTAGAGAATTATATGTGTTCCTGAAAATAGATATAAAAATATAAGACCGCACTAGTAATATGATTAAGATATCCTTATACTCTTAAATTAAAAGTGCACAGGAAGTTAACAATGAATGCATATGTTTTGTTGTTGTTTTTTTAGGGGGAAGGGGTTGTTGTTGTTTTTCTTGTTGTTTTTTTTTATTTTTTTTATTTATTTATTTATTTATTTATATTTTTTTTATTTTTTTTTTATGGGGGAGGGGTGTCAGCGTTTAACTGCATAGTTTATATTAATTCCATATTGTACTCAAAGTAACAAAGTTCTGTCAAATGTTAAAAGCTTGATGGTCAATATGCTTTAAACAGACTAGCGTCACGTCACATACAGGTTTTATGGCTGAACACTCACATACAATCCTGAATTCAATTGGACGGCCACACTGCTGTCACGAGAGGCTAGGTGAGTTAGATAAAGGTTTTGCAGCTGTGTACGAGTAAAAAGAATCAGTATTGTTCTCAACCATGCTGAATGATCTTATTTCACAACATCAGCTTTGAACATTTTCAATTATAATAATGATGCTTTGATATGGGTTTTTGGAGTATCAAAAATTAAATCGAGGATAGATGGAGGAAGACATGCCTTTGATAAAGTTATTTTGGGCTCCAGAAATAAAACCAGGCCATAAGAGGTGCGATATTGATTCGATGTTAAATTTTTTGAACCCTGGAAAAGAAAACTAGGCTTTACATGTAAGAGGTCTTACATGAATATGGATAGATTAATAACGGACTTTTTGCACTCTTAAAATGAAAACGATGCTAAATTGATAAGTTTTGGATCCAATAATGATTTCTATTGGACAATTACGTGGTGCAAAAGATGAAAGTATATTTGTCTTTTTTTATGTTTTGAAATAAAATTCAATATTGCTATTTATACCAGACTTATTAAAAGAGACAGAACTTCATAATGAACTGTATTATGTACAACAAGTCAACTAAGCTTTTAAGTTTCATGCGCATTGGCATGTATCTTAAGATTCACACCAATAGGTAAGCTAAATAGGTAAAATAATGTTTAATCTGTATTTTCTAAATCACTGTTTATCATCGGGACGCCTTTCATATCAATATTTATGAATCATTCAAAATGTTTCATCTCAAGCACATGTGAATAAAGGTCAAGTTGAAGATTCTGTTCAAGTGTTTCAAATACAAAGCTATAGACATTTTTCTCATGTTGTGTTTGTTCTTTCGTTAAACCGTCGTTGAAATATGTTTTTAAATGGTGTGACTAAGTGTTATTTGATAATTTGAAAAACAGTTATCATCGTATTATCTCATGGGAAAATGCATATGGTGCACGTCTTTAGTTTTATTTTTTTTGAAAAAAAAAAACATTATATGTAGTTATTCTTGATTCAATTTATCATCAGTTTCAATGAAATAAAAAATCAATTTTAAATGTAATACATGTGTACATTTAGTTAATTATGTCAAGATGAAAAATAACCAGCTTTTCTTATTAAATGTTCTTGTTCAAACAAGAAACGTACAATTATAGCTTAACAGCATATTCGAAATATGAGCATCATTTAATTTCTTACTTTAACATAATCTTTTCCGTGGCCTTATGAATTTTAATTTACTTCCATTTTCATGGAAGTTCACTTTTATCTTCTTTTATCAATGTGAAACTTGTTAAGTCCTATATGTAGCTGACACGTGTGCCTTCAAGTATTATGTTTGTCTGTGTAGCAGCACGCGATTTATCTTGAGATAAAGCAAATATTTGAATTGTTTAACTTTATCGTTGGCTAACACTTTAAAAAAAAGTACAAAGTTGTGAATATTTTTTTTTCGATATTGTTCTTTTCCTTTTAAGCATTTCACATTCAAAATTATGCGTTTAGTAAAATCCTTTTGCATACTTTTAAATAAAAAAAGGCAGATTTCTCAAATGCATGTTTTGTCTACAGTATATATTTAATATGCCTATTTATATAAATGTTGTAAAAAGACGGATAGATTTTTGTTCAAAACAATTGAAAATTCTATATATTTATGAAGTTACATGTACTATAGTAAAATATTAAGCATTGCATTTAACTTTCATAATGTTCTTATCTTTTTTATATTATCAAACTATATACATAACTTTTGACATATTTATATTCATATTATTATATTATACATAAACGCATGCAATATGATTTCCGTAATATCGAGCATATAATGAGTAAACACATACAGTGTCTAGGTAAGATTACCCAGAAATATTTTACCTACGATTTTCCTGAAATCTGTTATCTAAGATTACCCTGTAATCTTTATCCCAAGATTACCATGTAATCCATTTACCATTCTATCTTTGTTCTATGAAATAAGCCAGATAATGTTGTTACACATGTAACACTATACTACACTATGTGCTGCTACTTGTAATGATTAACCCTGAACAATTTAATATGTGTTATCTTACAAGTATTTTGACTTTTTTATAAACATGTCCCTTTATATTTAGGGTGGCATATGTTTTTACTTTTATTCTTGAAAAAAAATGAATGTTAAGTTTTAAAAAGCGACATCAACAAGATCAATTATCATCTACGGTAATAACCATGTTGATATTATATATCATACAAAACAAATTATTGCTTTAAAGAGACATCGCCAACACCAACAATTATACATAAAAAAATCGTAAGACAGTGGCTGGATCCGCATAGAATTTACAATCTTACTAATCTTACTTCCTAAAAAAACTCTACCTTTATGAACGATATATAAAAAGTTTCTATTTGTGTTGCTTCATGTTAAATACCGGATCAATTATCCAAAAGGAGTCTATTTCCTGACCTTGTATCTTTTTATGACAACAAACATGCTAAATCATCAATTTGTTATAACTGATATATTTTGTGTCTTGGGTGGGGATCCTAAAATGCACTGTTAAAACAATGAATTGGCCACTAAACGAACAATTGATTATTTTATGTTTGATTTGTAGTCATTGTGCCCTATGATTGATATTCAAATGTCGTCACTATTGAAACCTTTTTACAATATTATATGTTCATAAATAAAATAATAAGATAATTTAATCATTTTAGCTGACACAATGATTTAAATGTTGACGGGTTGTCGAACTCATGTTTTGCCAATGACAAAAACAAGGTTTAAAATCTTTATTGTAAAATATATTAATTGCAAACAGACGAGTAAAAGGTGATACGTGTAGTTAGTTATATAAGACTTTTTTCACGTTATATGATATATATATATTGGATTCACATTAGGTTTTATCCTATATACTTTTTCTTTTTTTGATTTAAATTGTGTAAAAGAAGTTCTAAATCTTGTAAATTCTATTCTTTGATTGTTTTCGTAAAATAGGTTTAGATGAAGTGTTCCTGTTCACTCAAATAATATGTCTATTTTTAGAACATGAAATAATTTAAGTATTTCAATGACAAAATTTTATATACAATTAGTTGAATTTTAACCCCACAAATATTATACAATAGTGAGAATTATGCGCGACATATTTGACCCCAAACATTCCATGCTAAAATCAACATTTATCCTACTACAGAATCGGCTGGTTTGCTTTTCTGATTTACTAGCACCTTTAAATTTAAAGAAAAATGTTATAAATTGTATATGATGGATGTTTAGCATTTCTTGGTTCTTAGTTTTAAATTAAAGTATTTAAATGTATTAAGTTTCAACCTCATTCAAACTACTATATCGTTGGATGTAGCCAAAAATGCTAAGTCATTAGCAAGCACTTAATTTAAAGAAAAATAATTTTTCAATAATCATTCAAAAAGCGATTAAATTTGCATTCATTCAACTTTTTATATCATTTACGATCAGGAAAAAAAGGTAAATTCGAGCCTGTTTTAATCATATATGAACTTTGGGAGAAAGAAAAAGAAGAAAAGAGTTTTTTACTTAACACATGATTGTAACATAGCATTCGAGGATTGAACTTATCTTAGAATTAACACAAAGAATTAATGCCAAAGAAAGATATATCTTTTTATGACAAAAAAATACTTTTCATAATCTATGAATGAAAGAATATAGATTTTTGGCTGATATATATTGAAATGTAAGAAAGACGAAACACAGTTGATATGGTCTCTTGACCAGAAAAAGTTACATGACAGTCAAATTCAAAGCATTTAATCAGACGAGTGTGAGATTTACCTAATTTACATTATGTTTTATACTTACAAAGGTTTCAGTTTTTTTTTTCAAGTTCATTTTGAGTTTTAAAATGTTAGTGTAAAATTTTAGACGAAATCTACAGTACAATTTTTTTATATTTCCAAAGAAACATATCTATATGAAACATCTATATAACTACATGTAAAGTTATTTCCGTCTTGGTACTGCTTAATAATGTTGATTAAAATGCTGTTAAAATTGCTTACCTTCCCATCTTTATGACACCTTTTAATAATGTTCATTAAAGGCAAATCGGCATTTTAAATGCCTTTGGCTATTTACAAAAGCGAAATATGGTCAAAGCAACCAGGTTACCTAAATATTACACAAATTAATTTACATTGAAGAATAAAAAATCACAAAATATCAAACATTTAGATATTTAGACCCACAAAGTAAATCAAATCTAAGAAGAAGCAATATTTAAGAGATAATTTTCTCAATTCATAAGCTTCCGTTATAAACTTTGCATTTTTACATTACTAGTTCTACGATTACATGACATAATAATATTGAACTTTTGGACTGAAGGCAGGTCAAGCATTATTTTCAAAATGTTTAGGTCGTAAATCATCAATCTTATTACAGCATTTAGATTCAACTGATTGTATTTAAAAGCGTTTACAGATACGATATTGTCTTTCAATGTAATTAAATCGACATACTTTCATTTAAATTTCAGTTTGATGATAATTATGATATTTTAAACCTAGTGTAGAGCTCTGTCTTTCTTTCTCTCCCCTCCCCCTTCCCCCACCCCTCTGTCCCTCTCTCTCTATGTACTATTAGTTAATATATCTAAATATTTTTATAGAAAAATTCAAGTTTAAATTGTTAGTGGTCTTCAAGTTTAGCCTCATTATCAATCTCTATTTCTAGTTTTGAATTTACTGATCTTGTAGTATTTGCTCAAAAGTACTAAAAATTTGCGTTATAAATATTAAATTGCTTTCTAAAGATCCTTTACATGGGCATGTAATGATAACTCGTTACTTTTTTCCAGTATTTTAAGGCTCTCTATGTCATTAACACTGAATAAGGGAAACGACCTTATTTACCTAATATCGCTAAGTTTGTGTGCTAACCTCAAAAATATTTTTTACAAGTTTTAGATGTATTTTTTCAGTTTCTGTATATGCATTATCGCCCAAAATATTTGCAGTACACAATAAAATAGGTAGAGCAATAGAAAAAAGAGAAAATGAGCCGCGTCACGACAAAACCAACATAATGGGTTTGCGACCAGCATGGATCCAGACCAGCCTGCGCATCCGTGCAGTCTGATCAGGATCCATGTTGTTCGCTATCAGTTTCTCTACTTGTTAAAGAGTTTGTAAGCGAACAGCTTGGACCCTGATCAGACTGCGCGGATGCGCAGGCTGCTCTGGATCCATGTTGGTCGCAAACCCATTATGTTGGTTTTGTCGTGACGCGGCTCAAATGTAGTTTAAATATCAGATTAACCCTACTTAATAATGAGAGTAAACTATTTATACTTTGAAAGCTTGACCAGAGAACACCTTAAAGGGACTTCATTGAGCTTTTATGACATAATGGACTTGCAATAACTTTTTAAGATTAATGTTCCATTTGATGTAAGTCTAGACAATATCTTGACGTGTGCAAAACTTCGGATCATTCGCTCGCTCCACCGTTTTTCCAGAATAATTATTCTAATTGTAACATAGGGTCTAAGATTGAAAAGCATTTCAACGCTTTTTACTCAAATCGGGCTAAGAAAACGATTTATCTTAAATTATTTCTGAATATATTTCTCAGTTATCAGTTGCATACCATTCTGTTTTTAAGAGCCCCAGTTGATCTATGTAAGGAAACCAAATTGCAAGTGTTAAGAATTTGGACCTCAACATAGTTCGTTCCTTTTTCATGTTTCAGTGAAGGTTTAGATTCAATAAAATGAATTGTACAACTCAAATTAATCATAAATAATGAACCATTCCAAAGAACTAGACTAAGTCTGTTTTCCCTTCTCAACGATCAACATTTTTAGTTATAAATGGTTTCAATCCATATACACGGGTAATGTTTATTTAACTTACTTGCTAATTCAATTTTATCAAGTAAAGTCCAATCACTAATGCTGCGTCATTTTGCGTAATAATCGAGAACATTAAAGAAGCTATCGAGTTAATCACCTCTGCTCTAAATATATAAATCATTCTTAATTAAAAAGATGATTACATATGCATACATTTTTTCATTCTTTTGTATTTTCGTCAGTTTGTTGTACAGTTGTTTTTGCTGTCATTTTTTTAAGATATGTTATCAACCTCAAGATACTTTTAAAAACTTAAAAAAACAGACAGCTCTGCAGTTTTTCATTACAGGTTCTATACCAAATCTTCAATACGAGTTTGTGTGACGTGTAGACGTTAGAAAAAATCGAAACATTTTGTTTATCTATTAATAAATGGGGATAATTTGTGGGTTTAATCCGGGTTTTTTTTCAATTATTCTTTGTAGAAAAGGGCTTTTTTCTATAAAACGCACGGAATTCTGTGCAAATTGTTACGTAAGAGGCCATCTGCTCCTATTAATACTGACCAGTTTTTTTTCCAGGAAAATGAATAATGCCGAATACCACCGAGACTGAATTGTAAATGTGCTTTATAGATAACCCCGGACAAAAATCACGACCCTAAAGGTCCAATACATTATTATTCAATATGCGATGTTTTGCAACTGAAACTTAACGTCACTGGACGTCACGTTTGGCCAGTAAATGAAGGATGTGAATATTTACATACATTCCGGCACATGCTCGTTGCAACAGTAACAACTGATTGATTCAATTTTCCGAACCATATTTCATTACACTAAACGGTGACACTTTGGTAACACAATTTCAATTAAATGTAGCATCAAAAAGTATTCCGAAATATTATTACTACATTTTTGATTCTAAATAAATCAAATAGTATATGCGACTGAAATTGTCTGTATAAAGAGAAATTTAACCGTGCTGGATATTTCTAAAAAGAAATACATATGTTATTACCTGAAGTGTCCCTGGTTTCCATGTTATAATAGCTCCTCGAAAATGTGATGCCTGAACAGGTATAAGAACGAGTATTGTCAGAATGACAGGTATTTTGCACCACTGTTTCAACATGATGTATTCATAACGTAAATTTAAAATATAAGTATGCAAGACAATTGCGATTGCGAGTGCGTTTTTAAAATACGAAATGATAAAATGAAGTGTTGGAACATATCTTGTCTTTATAAAGTGGAACGTTATCTTGTTTGAATGTTTATCAATTCTAATCATTGTTAAGTGCTTATTGTGTCAAAATTTCGGTTGAGGCAAATAAAATATTTTTGCAATATTTATATTTTTGAATGATTTGATTGTTGATTATTATCAACACAACAGAAATTTAATTAGAATAATAGGAAATGACTGCTTGTTATTTTTAAAAAATATTCCGAGCTCACTATTTTATTGTCGCACAATCTAACACATTTATGCCACATTTATGATTGAGATAAAAATTTTGATATAACCATTCGTAACACCTTTTGTAATGTATTCTTGTAAAAATATGATGTAATATCTATCTTATTTTACATAATTTTAATTTAAAGAAACGTTTGCTATACGGTAGTCAGTATTTTAAAATACTGACAAAAACATTTATTTCTCAACACTTACAAATGTCCTTAACTAATATTTGTATTTTGTGTAGATATGAAATAATGGTGAAACGCTAATAAGAGAAATTAAACTATTTAAACAGATAAAAATGTGAGACGAAGGGACAATTGTGTTTAATTTCTTTTTATTCTCTTGCTCCTAACTATGAGCCGATGACTTACTTCCCGTTAGCACAGTAATGTTTATCCAGATAAACGAATGGTTTGAAACAAACGCTATTAAGGAACGTTTATGCGAAAAAGAGAATGTGTTATATTTTCAAATTCGGGCATCCGCTCATGACAAAAAGAGATAGTTCACTATGTTTAACCGCTTACTAAGACAATATATAGTTAATAAGGTGTCGCTGCACACGAAGACAAGAGATAGTTCACTAGATTTAACCGCTAACTTAGGAAATATATAGTTAATAAGGTGTCACTGCCACGAAGACAAGAGATAGTTCACTAGGTTTAACCGCTTATTAAGACAATAGATAGTTAATAAGGTGTCGCTGCACACGAAGACAAGAGATAGTTCACTAGATTTAACCGCGCTAATTAAGGAAATATATAGTTTAACTAGTTTTACCGCTCAAAAAACATAAAAAGGTGTTTACTAGATTTTATCGCTTATCAGCATCTATTTAATCTAAGAGCTGTCATTTTCTTCTAGACCTCATAGGGGATATTCGTATGGCAAAAATAACTTAATAATCATTATTTCTTTCATGTATGAGAATGGGCACATGTAGTTTTTTATTTGTTATTTTTTTAACTGCCTTGTCCTAAACCATCATTTCTTTTATACTTTTATGAAAAGCTAGAAACCACGTCATATTTGCAAAGCCTTTTTGTTGTTCACCTCCGGTTTTGAAAAATTCTATGTAATCATTCAAACGAATTGCAATCTGCATGCTTAAATATTAAATTTCCTTTATTGACAAATCCTATTCACATCTATTCGAATTTTTTAACAACCATGACTATATAAAATATTTTTATTTAATAAGATAAAAAATAGCAATGTTATACTTTGCAGTTGTGAAAAACATATGCAAACAGTAACGTGTTTGTGAAGAAACTATCAACAACATAAAACTAAGGCCAGGACTTGACTGCCTATACGTGAGGTATGAATACGCAATAAAGAAATAAATGCTCGCATTACTATACACATGACATGTTTTTGTATTCATTCCCTCCACCTATACTAATATGTCCAGTGCTTTTATATATATTAAATTTGCATATGAAAAACAAACATATGAAAGCCCCTACACATGACATGTTTTTTGTATTCATACCCTTCACTTATACCAATATGTCCAGTGCTTTTATATATTAAATTTGCATATGAAAAAAAAACAATATATGGAAGCCCAAGCATAATGCTAGTTAGATCCTTCCGATCAAATTCTTGTTGCATTCGAGGAAGAATAAAGCAGTATTTGTAGAGCCGAGTCCGAAATAGCATATATTGCTTTTACGTAAGTGGCTTCATATGTGTCAACTGTTGTTTCCCGTATTATGAGTACTTCAGTCATGATATATATGTTTTGTTTGCTTTATATATCAAAATAATGATCTGTCCAATGCACTTACACTGTTCTTACTTTGACATAGTAAACTGTTTTTATATTTTTGATGCATTGATGGTTTTATTGTATTTAGTTTGCGAAGCAAAATGAATGCAGAGTTATAAGCACAGATCCAACAATCGCTCAGGTATATGCGACAAAAGCGAAAGCAATTTTAAGTACCATTAAAATTTTGTTAACATGACCCCTGCTTTTCGTCTGTCAATCCACAAAATTTACATCCTTCAATTATTAAAAAAAAGATAGAGTGATTTCATAAAACTTAGAAAATGGCAAAATGGAGATTGTAATGTGGCTACTCTTACAGATTACGAGGAAAAGACTAAATTGATATTAAGTGGTGATGATTTTTAATTATCGTTTTTTACATATCAATATTAAATTTGCAAAATGTTTTGGTTACCAAAAGTCACCAGCCAGTTCACATGTCATGTCCCTTAGCTCTGAACTTTAGTTTCATCTTAATAATTTATTTTTATCTTGAATATTTTTGTCATCTATTTATGTGTTATTATTAGTGTATTCGGTAATAAATATTTTGCATAACTTTCTCAATTTTATTCATATAAAAACTTTTGAATTAGTCCGCAAGTCTTTCATATCACTCAGCAAGATGAATTAATAAAATGTTTGTATAAAATAAATGCTATTATGTTTGGCACAACTGTTTGTTGTCAAACAGTTTGTTCTACTGACTACCAGTAAATGGGTTGGAATTGTCGGGGTCGCAAAATCTCTAAAAGTAAGAAAACATATACTCAAGAAGGTTGTCATTTTAATAGTTTTTGCTGATCTTTACTAAATATTAAAGTTCATATACAAATCACAAAGGGAGTTTTTTAACTAGCCAATTCTCCTTGGGTTTAGATTTTCTTACTAGATCTGTGAACAATATTCCCATGCTTGATTTGAATGTGATGTGTTTGAATAAAGATTTGTAATTAAGTCATCGGAAAATAAAATATTGATCTTTAATATAACTATTGATTTATTCAAGACATTACACCCAAGAACATATAGGGCTACTACATGTAACTCGATGAATATTGATTACTGAAGGCAAAATGATAACAAACAGATATAAATGTAACCTTTTTATCTATTTTGATTTAAGTCTGCTTACTAATGTTTTTATTATGAGCTCTACCAAAGCAATCAAATATTATAGTTCGTGCTAAACTCTCTCTCTCTCTCTCTCTCTCTCTCTCTCTCTCTCTCTCTCTCTCTCTCTCTCTCTCTCTCTCTCTCCTCGCGACAAGCAAACAAAAAATGTCTATTCAAACTGAAAAGGCACTGTACACAAAATTCTAAAAGCGTTGAATTTTATTAAAAATCTGATTACATAAAATAAATAAAAATGTTCGTCACTAAATGTTGTCGTCAGATTCAATCCTCGGAAATTCGACTATTAATGATGTCTTTATCGAGCAAACTGTTTGGAGGCATTTTAATGTCGTAGTCGTTTGCTTTGTTTTTTCCTTTTCAAACAACAGAAGACTGTAACCACGGCAATAAATATGAATGCAACAGGAATCCCGATAGCTAATGATATAATAAGGATAGCCAGATCTGAAAAAACAAATTGTAAATTTGAATAAACATAATTGTACTTCTAAACTATTTAGCGAGCGGATCAGGTTTCAGTCAATTTCTAATTTATTTCGATTTTAAATGGAAAAAGTGTGGTGATTAGTTTATCTTTATTGATTAGAACAAATAATTTAGATATGTTATACTTACTTAGCGAACTGACATGCGGATCTAATACACTGAAACAAATGACAACAAACAATCATAAGGATGTTTACAAATATTTATTTGATAAAAAAAGTCAAACATCTTAATCAGGTAGAACAAAAATTTATCATATTTGTTTATCACCAGTAGTATTATTTATTTTTTCTTCCGAATATTTAAGATTTGATTTTTCATGAAAACTAATAAAATGTTTAATAATCACTGGAAAAACTTTGGAAGAGTACTACCCGGATCACCGCGTCTTTAAGTATTAGCAGACTATTTAATAATTTTTTGCAATACTCATCTTAATACCTACCGACAGCTAGGCTTCCCTTCGATAGTAACACATTCAGTCACGTTACATGGATTGAATGATGTATATAACGTACATATGTCATCCGGAACTAGAACAATTGCAAAAGAAAAAAGCTTTCACTATAAATCATCGTACATTTTAAATATATTGATAGATTTCAACAGTTCACAAATGGGAAAAAATTGTTGATGTTTACATTTCATAAATAATATAAAGAACATGTTTTGAATCAATTTTCAATACTTAAATTATTTGTTAACGGACACAAGCTATGTATACTCGCAATAGCTGCTTGCACTGCGAAATAATGCTTTTTATGTTTTCAAATTATCATTAAGACAATTACTTCCATATTTCCTTATTTATTTCATTCTAACGATTAATTACAATCACCTTATCAAAGCTAATTACATGTATAAGCATGTACAATTACTACCAATACCTTACGTTATATTTTAATATTACACATATGTTGATAACGATTACCATTTTCATTGTCCACTGTAATATCAATAACATGCACAGCTCTTCCATCAAAATCTAACGATGCATTGCTCGTTTTCAGGTCATAAAGAGCAACAGCCAATGCTTTTGACCCTTCATCAGTATCTTTAGTGAGAACACTATGGTCAATTATCACACTACCTCTCCTGTTATAATACAAGTATAAAGATTTTTGTGTAATAATCAATGTAAACCAATATGATCCAATAAATACATTCTATGTTCTTGAACATGTACCATGACAACAACTTACACTTGTACAGATTAAATGTTTTATTCAAAGAGGATTTAACAAATACATTTACAAGAGAAATATATTTTAAAACTGTCATTTAAATATTATTGGAGAAAGATATTCTCCAGAGTTTCAATGTGTCTTTGAAATAGTATAAGCATGATAAAATTAACTGTAATTCACCTTATGCTGATGATAATAACTTGAACAAAGTTATCCCCAAGTTTTTCCATGTAGTAAATTTTGAGCTATAAATAGAAAATTTCAAAATGGGGTAAATATTTTTTATAAATATCTTCAAAACTAATTCCATCGAACTTTATCAGATGCGTTTTGCATCAAATTATTTAAAAGGGCCATATGCTAATTTTACATATATCTATTTATAACGTTTGCTGAAAAGACCGATATTGCCAATTTATATAATCGTATGTGTTAGTATTTATCATTTATTGGTATAATATAGATAGTTCGGTTACCATATCAGTGGCCTTCCTAGCATATGTATTGTATGATTCAGCAACTTTGAGATTGACATTTGGCGTCAGCTCGATGTCTAAGTGCAACGTTATTGGAGTAATCCTTTTCTCTAGAATGACAAAAATAAACCTTTGAGTTGTATTATTGTGTGTCGTGGTCCGTCCGTTTGTTCGCATGAGCTCAAGTGGCATTATAGGATGGATTTCCGGGAAAAATGTTGCTTATGAATAAAAAAATATTGCTAATGGAATTTAAGTGATCACAGAAGATGAACGTAATAACCTCATAAATTCAACTCGGGAATAACGTTCATCTGACTGTCTTTAACCACTTGGCTTATTCAGCTTTTCGTATAAAGAATTGCAGTTATTGTGTTTGTGTTTTTGGCATATAGGTATTTCATATAAAATTTCGTTTGATTTCGGCTGCAATCAACTTATTATTTATAAAGTTATACTCCTTACGAAGCATTTTCAACGAAATGTATTGGTTTCCGCAGCACTACCTTAAAAGCATTTTCAATGCATACCTACCTACCTACCTACCTTACCTACCTACCTTACCTACCTACCTTACTTACCTACCTTACCTACCTGCCTGCCTGCCTGCCTGCCTACCTTGCCCTACCTGCCTGCCTGCTCCTGCCTAACCTACCTGCCTGCCTACCTGCCTACCTACCTGCCTACCTACCTGCCTTACCTACCTGCCCTACCTACCTACCTTACCTACCTACCTTACCTACCTACCTACCTTACCTACCTACCTTACCTACCTACCTACCTACCTACCTTAGCCTACCTACCTACCTACCTAACCTACCTTACCTACCTACCTTACCTTACTTCCTACCTTTACCTACCTACCTTACCTACCTACCTACCTACCTTACCTACCTACCTACCTTACCTACCTACCTTACCTACCTACCTACCTTACCTTACCTACCTTACCTACCTACCTACCTTACCTACCTACCTTACCTACCTACCTACCTTACCTACCTACCTTACCTACCTACCCTACCTTACCTACCTACCTTACCTACCTACCTTACCTACCTACCTACCTACCTACCTACCTTACCTACCTACCTTACCTTACCTACCTACCTTACCTACCTACCTTACCTACCTACCTACCTACCTTACCTACCTACCTACCTACCTTACCTACCTACCTACCTTACCTACCTACCTACCTACCTACCTACCTATTGTTATAACAGAATATAAAGATTTACCATCGTTCTCTGTCAGCATTGTTGAATTAATCGTATCATTTATTTCTGAAAATAGAAAAATAATCGTCAACCAAATAAGCAAAATTCTGAATAGATATCGGACTTCATTATGAATGTCTTTATTCCATTCACGTCGATTCTTGGACACCCCAAAAAATATTACAGTACATTTCCCCCATGAACTATTTAATGTGAACGCATGTTTCCAACATTACAGTTACTAATTTAAGAAAAGGCGTACATATGTGTATGAATAATTCAGCATAATGTTTTTTATACATTTGAATGTATAATCATCGTATGAAATGAAATGTTTTAATGGACAAGTAGTCAACTTGTTAGGATTTGGTCATGCCCAGGTCGCGTTTATGTTTATTAGTTGTTGGCTTGTTGAACTGGATTCAAAAATGTTAATTTGAAATTTAGGAACTTTACGATCTAGCAGAAATTAATATAAATTTACAGCTCTTCTTACTTCTTGTTTAGGTAATACAGCAGTATTTCAAGTCAATCAAATAGTTTTCTAATTTTACATACCGATACAAGAACCATTTTGAAGATCGTATCCTACCAAGCAAAGACAGTCATATCCCCAATCTTTATTTTGGCATCCAGTATTGTTGACAGTTTCACAAACTGAGCTGTTAAGACATTCATTCACGTCGATATCACATGATTCTCCCTCCCATTCCTCCTGGCATTGACACGTTTGGTTTACTGGATCACAAAGCGCAGTATTGTTTACTATGCACGGACAAGCTACAAAGTTAAAGTTAATAAGGATTTAAGAATATTCTCCGAATCAAATAACTAGAAAATGCAATTATATTTTACGTGTTTATGATATGTAGAACTATAAAATATGATATTTTGTAATTGTACACAGTTCTGACATTATGTAATGTGATTAACAATTACTAAAAAGACAATTTATTTCATAAATAAATGACTACCGGGTCAGTTATTGAGAAATAAAGTCACTTAAAACTAAAAAGATTGATAATCTCATAATTCGTTGTAATTAATCAATATTATAAGAAGGAAAAAGATAAGTTGATGAATACCAAATTCATTGCACGTGATTCCCCTCCACTCTCGTAAGCATGAACAGGATCCATTATATTGATTGCACTCTATTGCATTATTCCAGTCGCAATCGCACGTTTTATCACACATCAAGCCATATTTTTTATCCTCGCAATCTCCAAGATAAAGGATGACGTGAGTGCATTTTGAATGTTTGGATAATGAAGCAATCAGTGTCGTTTCAGACAGTGCACAGTGATATATATCAAGCATGTATTTAATCGATATAAAGCTATAATTCTAGTAAAATAAGTTGGTTATAAAAATACAAGATACATTTTGTCAATGTTTCATTACATAAACAAATACTGTCTTTATGTTTGTAGATCATTTAAAACAAGAGGGCCATGATGGCCCTGGGGTCGCTCACCTGTACATAGGCCCCCAGGGCGGGGCCAGTTTAAACCAAAGGGCTTTTATTTGAACAAACGTGGAAGACACCCATTAGAAGATGTTTCATGATGTTAAGTTTTTACTATTCACAAATAATGAAAAACAATGACTTTTGCCCCCCCCCCTCCCCCTGGCAGGGCCAATTTTAACCCAAGGGCTTTTATTTGAACAAACTTGGTAGACACCCATTAGAACATGTTTCATGCTAAATATCTTAGCTCTAGCTCTTTGGGTTCTTTAAAAGAAGATTTTTAAGTTTTTAATTACTATATGCAATATAGGGAAAATAAATGACCCCCTAGGGCGGGGCCAATTTTGACCGAAGGGCTTTTATTTGAACAAAGTTGGTAAACATCTATTAGAACATGTTTCATGCTAAATATCTTAGCTCTAGCTCTTTGGGTTCTTTAATAGAAGATTTTTAAGTTTTTACTCCATGTATTTAGGGAAAATCAATGACTCCTGGGGCGGGGCCAATTTTGACCCCAGGGCTTTTATTTGAACAAATTTGGTAGACACCCATTAGAAATGTTTCATCCTAAATATCTTAGCTCTAGCTCTTTGGGTTCTTTTAAAGAAGATTTTTAAGTTTTTACTACATGTATATAGGAAAATCAATGACCCCTGGGGCTGGGCCAATTTTGACCCCAGGGCTTTTATTTGAACAATCTTGGTAGACACTCATTAGAAGATGTTTCATGCTAAATATCTTAGCTCTAGCTCTTTGGTTCTTTAAAAGAAGATTTTTTTAAGTTTTTACTATATTCATATAGGGAAAATCAATGACCCCCTGGGCGGGGCCAATTTTGACCCAGGGCTTTATTTGAACAATCTTGTAGACATCCATTAGAACATGTTTCATGCCAAATATCTTAGCTCTAGCTCTTTGGGTTTTTTAGAAGAGAATTTTTTAAGTTTTTACTATATGCATATAAGGAAAATCAATGACCCCTGGGGCGGGGCCAATTTGACCCCAGGGCTTTTATTTGAACAAACTTGGTAGACACTCATTAGAAGATGTTTCATGCTTAATATCTTAGGTCTAGCTCTTTGGGTTCTTTAAAAGAAGATTTTTTAAAGTTTTTACTCTATGTATATAGGGAAAATCAATGACCCCCTGGGGCGGGGCCAATTTTGACCCCAGGGCTTTTATTTGAACAATCTTGGTAGACACTCACTAGAAGATGTTCATGTCAAATATCTAAGCTCTAGCTCTTTGGGTTTTCTAGAAGAAGATGTTTAAAGTTTTTTCTTTTGGTTGCCATGGCAACCAGAGTATTGCATGGAATGGAATTCTTTGAACAACTTTGTTAAGGCTTCACACAAGGAACATCCTTGTGAAGTTTCATTATGATCTGCCTTATGGTTTCAGAGGAAATGTCGTTTGAAAAGTGTGAACGTACGACGTACGACGGACGACGTACGACGGACGAAGAGTGATCCTAATAGCTCACCCTGAGCATATGCTCAGGTGAGCTAATAACACAATTGTCGGGTGAATGAAAAACTTCAGATGCCTAAATATAACATAAGTTTAAATATAAAACAGATTGATGTAGAAAATAGTGAACAAAAACTTACCTCCATGACAAAACGAAGAAATCTGGAACGTTTTTGAAAATACCAAAGAAGGTACACCGTCAGGCTCAATTTTGACATTATAAGTTATCATAAACGGCTCGAAGCGACCAATTAATTTAAGAAGATAACCCGTGACAGTTTTTTCAATTCTGTATCCATTGTCACTTTCAAAAGTCTCTAGAGGTCTGACCCAGCTTGGTAATGCCAAACTTACAGTATATAGAATATGTGTAGATTTGTTTTGGATGATTGACTGTTCTTCGCTAGTCAGAATGTCAACGGAAGAATTTAAAGTAACAACTACTTCGTCTGCATTATCTTTTGTGAAACACCCTTCGAATTCAATAGAAATGTTTTGTACTTCAGGATAAACCATGACAGGCAGTTCACCAATTCTAGTGAAGTTATTTTCTTTCATTTGCTGAATGACTTTAATTATCAAAATTTGTTCGCCAGGATTTCCAGAAGTCATATTAATGAGTCCAAAATCCGAACTTGATAGTAAAACGCTGCTGTCATTTTCAACGCTTCCTTTTGAAAACGTTGTTCCATTTTTCATTCCGGTGACATAAATTTCGATATCTTCTAAAGATCCTGAAAGGTTCCTGGCCGAAATGGTCAGTTCGATTGGTTCATTGGTAAATCCTGCCTCGGATTTTAGTTCAAGCAATGGTGGTTCCGGTGGTGGGATAGCTGCAAATAAAACTCTTCATACTTTACACAGATGACACACAAAAATAATATTCACATGATCTTATCTGTTCTTTGTAAACTTTGCAATATCATGATTATTATAAGATGCTTTTTGGGGTTAAACCGATAGAAAGGTCAACAGTTGAATAATCGCTACAGAAAACAAATCTACCGACTTTCAAAATGTACATCGTTAGAACAGTATTAGGAGCGTCCGTGGTTGAGTGGTTAAGGTTGTATACTTCAAACCACTTGCCTATCACTGATATTGGTTCGGACCCGACCAGGGTGTTTGGATTTTTTCATGCGAAATAGCTATCCATCTAGCTCAGGGAACGTCGGTTGCTCTACATAGGTTCATGCCGATAATAATGCACGGAGGGGCACCAGAGGTCTTCCATCATCGCCAATAAAACTTAAAAGTCGCCATATAACCTGTACAGTGTTGGTGCAACATAAAACCAAACCAAACGAAAAATATATCATAAAAAGCTGACTCGACCCGACGTGATCAATGGATTTAAATAATTGTTCAACTGATCAATTTCGATCCGATCAATCCGATTTCAGGTTATGAAACCATAAACTTAAAAAAACAAAAAAAAACTCGATGTTGTTGTTTTTGTTTCTTTCACTTAATTATTTATTAATTCACGTACAAATTATTGAACAAGATCTGCATTACAAGATCAGTGCATGATATGACATGCATCAGTATGTTACTTTTTCTTTTGTAATATTTGGTAACTACTAACAAACAAAATACCTCATATTAGTGAAAATAAGTGGCATTTATTAGGTATCTTCACTTCTGAAGAGAGATCCATGGCCTTGTCGGAAAATAGTCCGACAAGGAGCGTATTTATGCATTAATTTAACAATGTAATCATTACTTTAATTTGGCTAAAATTTAGACTGGTTCGTTGATCTCAAATTAAAAGACCGCTAATCACAAAGAACAAAATTTGTAAATATGTTTATAGCCTAAATGGGGTGACGTCATTCCGTGAAAATTTTACTAATCGGCTGCCAATATAAATCCAATGACTTCACTGTATCCATTACAATACTCACTAGAGTTACACGACGGGCCATAATATCCGCTTTCACAAATGCAAATGTTTGTTCTTCTACTGCAGTTTCCATTACCTGAGCAGTCACAAATACCTGTATGATAAGAATAATTATTACATTTGGCGTAATTTTAGAATTGTTTATTTAACAAGATATAGGAAAATAACCCTTTTCTATATAAGCGTTTTTTGTTGTTCCTTTTTTTGTCCTGTCTCTAACACAATTCTGCCTCATTAAGATTTTAGTGTTGTCGATAACCTGCAATTTAAATGTGATTTGATATTTAATAAATAACCAGCTTTCTCGTCAAGATCCTAGTATTAAAAACGACGTAAATTTTTCCGAAATTTCGAAATAAGAAACTATTTTTGCTTGTATTCTTTACGTATATGAATATAAACTCAGCACAATTGGCAATGCAATATTCGCACTAACGCACAGGCACAGGCACACAGAAACGTTGAATGTCTTTAAATTTTACAGAAATATGATATTATGTTGCTATGATTTTTTAAAGCATTTTTAAACTATTAGACGTATAAAATATATATAGAACAAATATGGTCCATTTCTACATTTTTATTGGTCTTATTTGGTCCTGTTTCTTTCAGATAAGAAATGTTAGTAGTATTGTATACAGCATGTTACCAAATTTGATATTAGATTTCACGTGAATGGTGTTTTTGGAGCTAGTATTGACGTTGTTTTCATGATTCCCAACACGGTCAACAGCTATTGGCAGTATATGTTTCGTTTCTTCTAGTTCCAAGTGAATTACGCAATGGTTTTCTGTAATGCCACTTCGGTACAATATCAAACCTTGTTCTGAAAACGAAACATCTTTAAGTGAATGAGTCAATAAATTGAGAATGGAAACACATTTAAGAAATACTCAATGCCTACATTCAGTTTGGTTTTTACAAGAAATTACTTTACAGAAAATGTTAACAGTAACATACAAGGACAATTAGGCATCACCGCTAGACAAATTCATACATTAAGTCACTCTTTATAACTATATCACTTGTTAGTAATAAAGAAGAGACAATATCGCAGTTTTGGTTATCATACAATTCATAAAAATAAAAGTTTCTATTTCAAAACACCAATTTGACTTGAACTTATGCATATGCAAGTCAATTAGACTTACTTATACCCGAGGCTCGATAGTTTCACAGACTAATAACATGTATGATACATGTCATATTTTATATATTTCAATTTTCTTTCGCTTAAAAATTACTCAAGAAAAAGCATGATTTGGGACAAGTTTTTAATTATCTATTATACTTATACTTATACTTAATAAATATAGGTACTGATTCATACTTGGAAAGTGACTAAACAGATATGTGAATTGATCTGAAAAAATAACATTTCTTTACGTTCCGTGTTTTGATTAGAAATCGTCAGAATGTTTATGTTTATGTCAAAACAATTGTATACTAAACATTCATGACTGACTTGTTAACGCGTCAGGCTAGAATTCTTAGGACTGCTGAACTCATGGGTTCAAACACATCAGGGAAAAGTATTTGTTTCCTTGAGTAAGAGGCTTTGCACTCGGGACTAGCTGGTTCAAGAAACGGACTCGAAAGTATCTAGCATGACCATTTTCTGTTTGTTTTGCCAAAAAAAAAGTTTTTGCAATTATGTTGCGCAGACATACCATTTCGATTTTTATGACCAGATATTTCACATTCAACGTTGCTTTCTACATGTGACAAGCATCTCATATGTTTTAAATTCATAACTCAAACATTATAAAACACATGTTTGTGTTTTCTTCAGATGAAATATTGTATTCATTTCTGAAGAAATTAGAAATTAAAGTAAAATCTACTTATGTTTTACCAATAGCATGAATTCAAATAGTAAAATTAAATACAGATATTTGTCATTTTGTAAGTAAAAGAGCATAAGTTTTCATAGAAATAACAACAGAACTCTGATTATATTGAGTCAGTATGTCTTCTTCATTCATGTATTTCATGTATTTTATTGTCGTATTGACTGCAAGGAAGAACATAGCAAGCAATACTATATAAAAGAACTTGTGATACCTACCTAATACCTCAAACAGATCAACATGTCTCACACCAGAACCAGTATCCGAGGCAATTAGAGATATTGTAACAGAATCTATCGATTCAGTTCCAGCAACAATTGACCCATTCACATCAGGTAAAGTATCATCTATCTATAATTCAATGATATCAAAATGTTCTTCCTAGATGTCACTTAATATACATAAAATATGTATATATAAAAACAATAAAAATAAAGAGTAAAAATATATATATTGTTTTGCATTTTGTGTTTAGTTAATAACATTATAGCGTCAGATAAATGTAAGTATATGAACAAGTTAAAGATATTTGCCTTAATTAATTGTGAACATAAAGATAACGAATTAACCTTTTACACCCAAAATAAAATAAATTTACCGTATTTGCGATATTTGGAGTATCAATAGGCTCATTTTGGTCGAAGAATATGGAAGCATTTGCATGTATAATTGACAGGTGTGGTGTATCTTGTTTAGGTTTCATGAAGAAGGTAACATATCCCTGTCCGGATGTACCGTTATTTGGAGGTAAAAACCCGACATCAGGGTCCGATGGGGATTCACCTATTCATATACAGTTACATATATTTGAAAATGTAAGGTATCCCATCAGACAATATTTCATAAACAATTTCAAATTATAGTGTTGCTGTAATTAAAATGAAGCTTTTTAAATTTAAGCTTTATATTTATAAAAAAGAGAAGTCCTTTTGATTCTTGTATCACTTAGAATAACCTATTAAAGTAAAACTAATATTCAGTTCATGCCGATATGTACCTGTCGTTTTGTCAATCGATTCAAACTCCCAAATAACCATTTCTTTCTGAAGATCAAGTCCAGCAAACACCCGAATTATAATTCCCAAATCTGCAGTCCTATCTAATGTTCCCTGTAAAGATTATAAAAACATAAACAGTCATAAAAAATATGGTATAGCGGCCTGCGTTTATAAAATCATTAAAAATACTTTTAAAATGCCTTTGTTTAACAAAGTTATCAGCGTATCCATCGATCGCAGAAATTAATACTAGTCACAGTATTAATATTTTACTGCTTATTAGACAGATTAACTTGTCCTTCCCATAGAAAAATAGTATTTGCATATAAGACTTTCTTGCTTATAAAACCAGGTAAAGTCTGGTCTATCAAGTGGGAATATTCGTCCTACTCACAGTTCCATATAGTTTCCTACAAGACGTGTATACGAGTACTTCTTAGTGCAAAACTGGCGCGAAGGGTATTAACTAATATAAGTATACAGAACATTTATGTTATTCTTAGAAATCTTCTTGTAATTAAACAATAACAGCATCAGTACAAGCATGAAAGTTTTGGGGTTGTTTTCTAGTATTCTATATGTTACCTGAAATAGTTTACTTTTTGGTGGAATTTCCCTTTCAAAGTTGCCAAATCCAAAGTTACCCATTGTGAAAGTTCTTGCATCCAGGTGCTTATTGTATTTATGTTCTATATAAACTCGTTGAGCAGGTGCAGTAGCATTCTCGTTATTCTCAAATCTAATTGTATATTCCATAATTTGGGTTTTTTGTATAAAACGGGCTTGCCCATATCCTGCCGGTCCAATAATGTCATTCTAGTGCGAAAGTATATATACATAAATATGAATAACATCGACGATAATTGGTTTGAACAGCTGACGCTGAAAGATAAGTTATGTGTTCATCTTTTTTTTGAGAGGTAGTTTTTACAGAAAAAAAGATATAAATATTAAAACAAATGTTTTTGTACACAATAAATTACACATTCCTTAAAAGGTTTCTTGATCCCCGCTGTATGAACACATTTGAAAATGTTTCCAACAAAAATTAAATTTAAAAAAAAAAAAAAAAAAAACGACTAAAGCTTGTGCTAGGGGGCATACTTACCACTTTTATCCATGAAAAGGCATTATCCAAACGGGCCTGCAATAGTTTCAATTTTTCTTGTAATTTGGTTTTTGTTGTTTTTTTTGTTGTTTTTTTGTTTTGTTGTTGAAAAATTGAAAATGTTGCGGGCTCGGATTGATCGAGCCTGTTCATGGACGGTACTATCGTCCACGCCCCTAGCACCACATAAACAGAATTAAACATTTTACATGATAATGGTAAAATTTTGAATTTAGAAACATCCGCAAATGTTTGCATACGACGGTTATCATGGAACCTTCTATGTGACACTTATGTGCCATTCCATGAAAAGCGGCGTATGGTCCCCAAGTTAAAGAAGGCGTGTACCCTAAACGAAAAAACAATGGGCGGAACTAAGAGAAATGGAATTTGAAATAAGATCAGAGGTTATGAACCCTGCATATCACAGATAAGACGCAAAAGACAAAATTTTGAAAAACAAGCAACAAGTCCCGAAAAGTAAAAATCAAAAGTACCACAAACACAAAAATAATGTCGTGCCGAACGATCTTCAAGTTAATGTCAATTTGAATGTGATTGGCTTAATATAGATAAAGGTATTTTCATTTGTCTAAATATTCTTAATATTATTCCATTGCAGCATTTTTAACCATGAAATGCATTACAAGTAAATTAAATTTTAAAACATTTCATGTATTTTATTTTTAAATTATTAATGTGTTATAATTTCAAACAGGAATAAGTAATAGAAAGAGCACCGAAACACGAGGCTATCTGATTTGTACGAAGGGCGTAGCCCCCGAGTATTAAACAGATTGCCGAGTGTTTTGGTGTTCTTTCGCTTTTGCATCAATAGTCAAACATAAAAACACGTTCCTTGTCACAATATGAAACCCTAGAAAAAAAGTTACCAATGAACGAGCATCTGAATATCATATTTCTTTCGCTTTTCCTTTCTCTGCCGTCACAATAAGTAAACCCCAGCAAAAATGAACCAATTAATGGGCGTGCTCAGGAGTGCGGGTAACTAAATACAAGCACTCCAGTTAACGCACTGTGCGCGTATATGTGTACGATTTAACTCTGACGCATTTTCAACAGAAAGGTCCCCTAATTATGATACAACAATATATATTTATACCATTTATAGTACAGGTATCATTTACATGTTCATGACACACTTACCGGATCAAAAGATCGAACCCATTTCGTTATGCCGTCTGCTAATTGTTTAAGCTTTTTTTCGAGTCTTCTCTTCAATTCGCACCCCTTTTACGAAATATAAATTAAATATACATGAACGGAATAGCATACTAGAAGTAGATGAGGTGTACGTTTTTTAATTGCATTAAAATGGCATTTTGTGTATCTACTGTGTTATTTCTTTTCAAACAAACAAACATGTATAAAATGAATATTCTATTTTCTCTAAAACAATTTATGAACAATTTATATTTACAACAGTACCTTTTGGATGATTTCAAAATATTGTTCAAGTTTAGTACATCCAAAGTCGATGATTTTGTTCACTTTGTCGGCGATTTTCAACAGTTTCCCAATAGTGGTTTGTTTCGCAACATAAAAAATGAATTCATATATCGCGTCTTTAAAAGAATACGGATCCCCATCAATTGCATGTTGTGCCCAGCTGCCAAGTACGTGAACTCTATCTTTCAATAAAGCCATCACAGGGGATAGCAAATATTTTCGTAAAGGACTTAATGCACCATTTAGTCCTCCTTCAATAATTGCTCCTGCAGCACCTATTGAAATAGATGACAATAAGAAAGACTGAGGATGTAAATTATAGATCTATGTTACAATACTTGCCAGGATTTTTAAACTTCTGCATTACACATCATGCGGCAATGAATATATAGTAGAAGTGTAGCATTTTTAAATATCATATTAAAAGGCACATTTATTGCCGTTTGCTAATAAACTGAAACAATTATAGAGAAAGTGTTGAAATCCCTCACCTCCCCATGTCAAAGTCTTATGAGTGAGTGCGTACTTCAATAAACTTTTCCCAGCACCTATTCCAATAGACCAACACAATGGGCACGTTCCTCTTGGATCGTTGAAATGAACAGGATTATTTGAACAGTAAGCATACAAATTTTTGCTTTGTGCTTTGAGACCTAACTGATCGGTACTCATGAATCGCCCCGTATAACTGTCGTAAAGTCGCGTGCGCATCAAATATATGTCTGCCATTTCTTCAAAGTCGACGACACCCCATTGGCCGATAAATGTAAACATTGATTTTATTTTTTCTTCAGAAGAAATAATTTCACCAAAAGGATTTCTTTCATATGAATTCAGCAAATTTCCAAAATCATCCAAAATATTTGTAACAGACCTGTTGTAAATTAGAATATAATCATCAGCCATACTATCAAAATGATAGAGTAAATTTCAATTTTTCAAGACACTTTAAATCGAAATCTATCCCGAATTATATATATATATAAGACATGAAATTTTATTTCATAGTTTAAAAAATGTTTTTGTTTTTCTTAAATATAAATGTGCAATTGAGAATATTGACTCGTGGATAGAAACAAATATATTTGAAATTTGATCTTAAAAACCAGTAACATGTGTTGCTGGAATATTACTGAGATATTTGGATGTTAAATGTTAAAGGTCAATAAAAGTCAATGAAAAACAATGTCGTATTATCAGACGACTTTCTTAATAATGCTTAGAATAAACTTCAATGGTAACTATATAACCGGTAATAGAACATGAAATGATAACCTAAATGTTAAAAACTTACCCAAGAGGATCGTACATATAATAAATAAGGTTATCATTATGGTTTCTTGAGGCTACGAGACCTATTTGATCTCCTCCATAGTAAAATTGTGTTACAATTTCTTTTCCACCACTTTTTTCTATCTACAATGATAAACAAGAGCCTGTTGAACCGTGGTATGCTCCCCGAATAGGTTTTGGATAAAGAGAAGTAGTTTCTTGTTGATAATTCAAGTACTTTCAGAGTAATATCCCAGACAAAGTTCAAAATGTAAAAATGAAAAAAGGGCAATAAATTCAAAATAAAGCAAGACAGAGTTACGGTTCTTGCGCACTGCGCGCTTCTATTTAACGAGATCTATATTACTAAGCTTCTTGTTGATACCTCTTGTGGCTTTAGAGTTATGTCCCGGACAATATTCAAAGTGTAAACATGAACAAATGACAATAAATCAATAATTAGGCAAGTCGGAGTTACGATTTTTATGCACTGCACTTTTACTTATTGAGATATATCTACCTACTAAGTTTCTTGGTGATACCCCTTGCGGTCACGGAGTTATGTCCTGGACGAAAGTTTAAGTGTAAAAATGAAAAAGGGCCATTTCTGCAAAATTAGGCAAAGATTTGCACTGCACTTTTACTCAATGAGATCTATCTTCTTACGTCGTTTCTTGTTGATACCTCTTATAGTTTCGGAGTTATTTGAGCTCTTATGCTATTCAACGACAATCATAGTACATGTTAAAATTTGTTTAAAATGAAAGAATCTTTCAAACCAAATAAACTAACCAAAATCAGACCAAATATGGAAATTCTCTATATTTTGTTTGTTATTCATTTTATTTGTTTCATGTTTCTTTTTTAAATGCCAAATAGAAGATGCAAACCTTCTCAAGTATATCCATATCACTGTTTCCAATCGGGTTGATAACAAATGCCATGGCATGTCCGTTGCAATCTTTCATGAACAGATTTCCCAAAGCATCGTATTCAAAGTTACATTGATCAGAATTTGACTTGTAGGACACAATGTTATTTTCTTCATCAAATGTATAATGTTCTGGTAAAGGTCCCTTTCTGAGGACAGCATTGCCATTTTTGTCATATTTTAAAACCATATCTCGATACTTTGTATACTGGTTCATTTCATTTATCGTGCTGAAACTTTCAACTCCATTTATTGACACTATTTTCCTATTCTTTGTACTGTCATAAGTGTATTCCGTTACATGTTCTCTTGGATCAGTCATTGTAACAACTTGTCCAGCGCGATCGTAGTTGAACTTCCATTTTCCGTTAAGTGTGTCCACGGCAATTCTCCTTTTTATCGTCGAATATGTGTAATTGAAAATTGAAGCGAGAGTTCCGTTTGGGTAGTGATTTGACATCTTTTTTAGAAGTCCGGATATTGGATCATACTCATAATGTGTAAAAGCGTTGTTACCTAGTTGCCGTCTAATAATCCTTCCTTTAGAGTTGTATTCAGCGCGAAGTATGATGTTTTTATTATCGTCAATTTGGGAAAGTTGTCCGTTACCGTTGTATTTATACTTCGCGACATATCCACGATTTGTTGTAATTCTACTTACTTGTTTTTCATCAGTGTATTCATAATCGATACGGTTTTCTGGATATATAACGCTCTTTATGTTACTGTTTTCATATCTTATGCGAATCACTCCGTGTTTGCTCACAGCTCGTGTCAGTTGCCCTGTTTCGTCATATTCAAATGTTGTTACAGAATTATTTCCAATATCTTTCATTTGAAGCTGTTTTTTATCATTGTACTCATACCGTTTGGTTCCACCTGACTGCGTTGTCGTTGTGTGACCGTTATGCGCATATCTGTATGTTCTATTTGTTCCATCAGGGAAAGATATATTACTTAAAGTTCCGTTTCCATTTATCGCAATATCATATCGGTTTCCTCGTCCGTCAATAAATGCAGTCAGCTGACTTTTCCCGTTAAAGATAGTTTTTATCTTATCGCCGTTTCCGTCTTCAATCACAATATGCCTACCGTTATTTTCATACTTCCGTTTAGTAACAATCTGAAAAATAGCATCAAATGATTTGAAGTTCATAAGATTCTCGTCAATGGCAACTCTTTACTGAAATGACAAAAATATTGATCTAGAATTTTTTTTACATGAAATGAATGCAGATTGTACATACAGTAGCAATGTCAATTGTAATAGATATTAATCAACATTAAATAATTATATAATCTTTTATTATATACGTGATTATTTCCTCTCATAAGCGTTAACCTGAAATTTATTGTTCTTAACCTGTAAACAAAATGTATTTATCTCTTCATTAAACATTAAAATACATTTTCCATCTAATAGTATGTACTTACAGTGTCACCCTCATAGTTAGTTTCTGTTGTCTTAGTAAAAACCGTTCTATCTGGTAGGTATCCGTCTCTCAATATTTGAATGACATCTCCTTCTTCGGAAAATGTCAACCTGTATGTTTCATCTTCAATAGGACTATGAACAGATATCATTCCCCCATTGCTATAGCTGTAAACTAGTTCAGAAACCTTTTTGTTGTTTACTATGAAACTTCTTGACTTCAAATGACCCATGTCATTATATTGGAACAAAAACATCGACCTATCTTCATACATTACGTATGACAATGCATTGTCTTTATAATAGTATCTTGTAGTACCTAATTCGGAGATTGTCTGACTTAACATCTGCGTATCATAATCATACACATATTGTCTGAAATTCAAATTAATAGATTGAAATATTTCATTGCTACCGTACGGTGTTTCAGATATTATTTCAAGGAAATCGATGGTTTGTACTTATCTTTTCCTTCAGAATGAAATAGTCTTAAATGTTTCAATTTTTGCGCTGCATAACTTTTTAGAAAGACAAAATTGATAAGTGTATGTTGTATTAAAGGCTTCTGCAAAAGACAAACTTAAACGCGGCGTCAAACGAATTTTAGCCAATTATTTGCAGTGTGTTATCAATGCCCATGTGTATCTGATTATAATTGATATCAAATGTAACATTTAGCATTACAGTGAAAATAATATAAAAGAATTTTGATTTAGGTAGATTATAAACAATACACTTACACTTGTGATACACGTCCGGGTGTCGATTCATTATGTAGCTGTATATGCTGAATTTGCTTGTTATTGTCATATCTTGCCGTAACGTACGGACCATCAGAATGTCGAATAACAGTTAAAAGTGAATTTTCGTATTCAAGATTTAACTGACTAGAGTCAATCAATGATGCAATGACTTTTATCCTCTTAGTTTCAGAGTCAAAATAAAATTCTTTACCATCTTTATCTGAACGAAGTATAAACTCTGTAATAAAAGAATGTTATCTTTTTATATGATATTTTCAAATATATAGCATTGTTGCAGGGGATACAGTTACGACGTATATAGCTTAAGCGTGAGCTGCATACGTTGGTTGAAAACTGATCAGTTGTATCCAATAAGTTGACAACGTATACAGCTAGCGTAAGGTGTATACGTTGGATCTGTGTATCAACTTTTGAAAAAAGTATTCCGTTTTAACGTGTATAGAGTATGCCCAGTGACAGATTTAAAACCATTATATCCATTTTCATTTGTTTTCATATTTGGAAGATTTAGTAGGAGTATTGATCATTACAAGAACCCTTAAGATTTTCTGATCAATAGAGTAAATGTAATTTTCACTTTGACGACCATCAATATTCATTTATCAATAATGAAAGAACTATTTTGCCTGCAGAAGGAGGTAACCAATGATCAGAAAATAACCCTATCGGTTATTCGGTAGTAGCCGGCTTTGTCACTACAGTCGTAGTTCTAGCAGACATCTCATTGTCAAAGTCGTTGAAATTGTTTTTATTGTATCCCGTAGTCGTCCAAGTCGTCGTCAGCCTAGTCGTAGCCGACGATGTCGTCAAAACCATTATTGTATTAGTTTTTGTCGTACAAGTTGTCGCATCTTAAGTAAAAGTCTTTGTCGTTCCTGAAAATGTAAAATTAGCAGTAATGGTCGTGGTCGCAACAGATGTGGTCGACGTCGGAGACGTCAATAAAGTCGTGATCGTATTCGAATTCGTTGTCGTAGTTGTGACAATCGTTAGCAGTTACCGTACTTGTAATTTTTAAAGTCATGGTCATTGACATTATCGTTGTTGTCGTAGTAGATGTCGTTAAGTCGTAAGTGTAACCTTACCCGTGTTCTTGTAGGTGTAGTACTATTTGCAGACCACTTTGTGGCTATACTAGTATCGTACACGTCAGGAAAACCCGTGGTCGTTGTAGTCACAGTATAGTACGACTGTAGTCTAATAAGTCGTAGTCGATGCCGTATATTTTGTAGTCTTTAAATTCTTCTAGACAAAGTCGTTGTCGTACTCATACTTGCCAGCAATGTTCTATAAATCAGTTTAGAGGTTGTTCCTGTAGTCTATGCCGCACTCGTAGTCAATGAAATTGTAGTTTTGGCAATCATCGTGGCTGTTGTCGTAAATGTCGTATTCATGGTCGAAGACGAAATTATGGTAAAACCATAGTTTTAGTCATATTTGTAGTCGTCGGCGTAGATATGTCGTAGGTGTAGTCGTTGTCGACGGTATACGTAAAAATAATCACCAAACTATCATCGGTGAAATGCAGCACCTTCATGTATACAGCCAGGGGTAAGCTGTATTCGATGTTAGCTCTATACGGTGTAAAAGTCCATGTATACATATCATACGTAAGATGACTTGCCTGTGGCATTCTCTGTAAGTATTCCTAATTTCTTATTGATATAATCGTTGTCATCTACTTTGACGAATAAAAAGTCTTCTTTTTCTAAAGTTAAAATAAGCTCTGTTCTGTTGATTGATTTTATTTTCGTATCCCTGCAAAGATTGAAGCAAAACTATTTATTTGTGGAGAAATAATTATATCTTATTATTAATAATAACTACATGGAATTGTCAACTTTGTATTCTTTTATATTTATTGATTTTAAAATTACTTTATTCTTCCATGATTTTTCAATTTAGTGTTATTCAATATTTTACTTTCAGGTTTGCTTTACTGATGGTTGCAAAATATTTACCATAAGGGGAGAATCCATCCTGACCCCATGTAACCTGATTGTTTTCTCGACCCTATTCGTGCAGACATAAATCTCTCAATTACTAAACGAACGTTAGAATTCGACTGAATATCAAAGTCGGTTACAGTCTGAAGTATCCGATCACCATACGGAGCATCAGAAAATTCAATCAAGTATTTCAATACAGCATCAAAATTTCTTACATATCTCCCTGCTAAACTCATTTCATTCAAGACATCTGACATTTTCATAGCGAGACTCTTTGTGCTGTTTCCAGTCAATGCAATAAAATTGTCCCAAACCGGTGTCCACTCTTCTACATTGTAGTGAGAAGGTTTCAAGTCGTGTTTCATATCAAGGAAAGGATTCTCAATCCGAGTACTTTGAACAAGTTCCGACACACTGAACTTCATCGATTCTGATCCGTCAAAAGTGTTGTCATTTTGTTTTGACTTGAAAGTTAAAGAACTCATTGCATGCGAAAGCAAAACTCCCGCTGGACCTTGCTCGGGGCATCCAAACACGTAAAATGTGTCTTTAAAAAATTCTTCCATTGCATCATCTAGCTTGATAATTCCGGCTCCTGAAGCTTCTACTTTTAATATCGGAACTATCATATCAGAATCGCCATGATTTGCTAAATTTACTTTTATTTGTCCTGTTTTTCCATTGAGTACGCGTTCTGTAGATTCGATATCTAAATACAAATGCCCCTCCCTACCGTATCGAACGTTTATTACTTCATTGTGAATAATGGTTTGATTCAGAGAAGGTGAAAAAAATGTTAAATTACAGGAGTCTATATCGTTTGGAATATCAAAGGATGCATATACTACAGTAGTTGAAAAAATATAAACTGCACGTGCCATCACGGTAACGTTGATGTTGTTTAATTTTATTTGCATGTCAAAAGGGAATAAAGTTCCTTTTATAACGAAAGTAGTTTGTACCCCCGGAATTATCTCTTTTGGAAATACCTCCTGGATTTCAAAGTTTGCATATTTAACTAAAATTGAAACGTTTTGCTCCTTATTCAAGACAGGATTAAGAAAACCTGCATTTTGTAGCAGTATATAGTAATCAGATTTCAGTGTATCAGGAACAATTATATATTGATTGGGTAGATTTGGTTTATCAGTTGCAAAATCAAAGTCATATAATGTTGCAGGTTCGACTGATTTCAAGAATAGGTTGTTAAAAGCGTTTTCATTATTTGATGTCAACTTCACAATAAGTGTTGCGTCACTAGAAACGTTCACAATTTGTAATGATCGTAAGTTGTTTTCATTTAGTTTCATGTTAGTTGAGCTCCCAACTGCAAGAGACTGATACGCTATTCTTGTTTTATTTATTGATACACCAACATTATTTTCCAGATGGATGTCAATCACATTTGTTCTGCTTTTCACAAGTGTTGAATAGTTCTTCCCTATAACATGTGGAACTTCACCTTGTAGTGAGAAGTTCAAATGATTTGATAATTTCGCGCTCAAACTAAAGAAGCTGCATACTGGTTCTCCGATTTTGGAATCTGTAATATCCCACGTTTCATCATCAGAAAGATAAACAGAGTCACATTTATATCCATCAACTTTGTTGGTTCCATTATTGTAGATTTCCCAAAAAACTGTCATATCATTACCGTATTCTAATACACTGGAGGTTCTTACTTGTGCCACTAAAATATCACTACTTACACTTTCAATTAAATCAAACATTATTCGATGTATGTTATCATCTTCATTTTCTTCAAACAAATCGTCCTTTGAGTCACAAACGATCGCTAGTAAATAGCTTTTCGATTGTAAATCTTTAGGGAGAAAGATCGTGACATTTAGGGATTTTGTATCGCCAGGCTTTAACTGAAAGTTCCTTTGAATGGACTTTAGTTTACGATCAAAGGAATTAACGACAAAGTCTTCGCTTAGGTATACACTGTCGTACCATATATGGTTTGATGTAACATTTCCAGTATTTGTGACATTGTAGCCTAGCAAGACGGGCTGTCCACCATGCAATTCGTTATAAGCAATATCACTGTCTATTTCTAAGTTAGGCAGCAGTAAAGATATATTTCGCGGAAACAGAAAAGAACCAAAAATGGATGTAAGCGAGTTAGTCATATTAATTGTCGTTGAGTTTTTATCAAACGGTCTAACAACTGAGTTTTCAAATTCGCTTTTTCCAATACTGTCCGGCAAAACAAGAAGAAAAGGGTGTCCCGAAAAATCGCCAGGTATTGTAATTGTTGTCTTAAATGAATATCTCTGATTTGGAAGAAGCATTCCTATATGAAGTCTGTCATGAAGATGTAAGCCAAACTGTTCTAAATCATATACAGATTTCACTTCATGATCAGCTAAAAATACAGAATCAACCCAAGAGGTTTTGTGTGTAGGTTGGAGACCGATGTTAGTGACAGTAACATTAATTTCGACATTTGATCCTGGAAGAATAGTTTCGCTAGTTTCTTTATCAGGCAAATTAATTGTCAGTTGTGCATCTAACAGAGCTGGGTCAACCTTTTTAATCTCAAAAGAACTTGTTTGGCAAAACAAATTATTACGCCTTGAATGTGCTTCATACACATCGGAATAAACGTCCGTTTCAATACATAGAAAAAATGTTCCAAACACATCTGATGGGAAAAGTAATGTTTTGCTTTGTTCATATGAAGCCTGGTACTCTAGGAAATATTCAATTGTATAGGAATTAAGCGGTATACGTTCACCATTTCTTGTTTTGTAAGATATTTGGTCATACCATGGCACAAAATCGCTGATTGAATTACCGACGTTATTTACTTTCCATTTTACATCAATTACCGTACCTACATTACTGATGAAGGAAACATTCTTTTCGAGTTTCATAATTGAAAGATCTGAAGCAGGTGCAGGTTCTATATTGATCAATTTTTCCAACCTATTATTTAAAGTATTTATGCCTTCAAATATATCGTTTCGTATGTTAACATCAATAATAACATAATAAGGACCTGAAATAGCCTTTGGAATTGTGAATAATACAGACTGTGAATAAGATTCGTTAATGCCTATGGACAGTTTTTGAAGTATTAAGTGATCTAATCTCTTATCTGCCATTTTATCCTCTATACCTTTGGCTATAAACACACGATCTGTCCATGCTCCTTCTTCAATTTTTCTATTACCTTTGTTAGAAACCCTATATGTTAATTGTAACGATTTCCCAGCAAGAATGTATTGATTGAGTTCGATCTTATTTGAGGGTAAAAGATCCACAGCACGTAATTCTACATCGATATTTTCTATAGTAGCAATATTATTTTGCATTAATTTGTCTCCAGTAGAGTAAATTTCATTGTCTACTTCCAATCTTGCTGTAACGTTCCCATAGATATTGAATGGAAGAACAACAGATACATTTCTCTCGTACATCTGAAGTGTTTGGAATCGATTTCCTGTCTCAATCAAAACTTGATGCAATGTGATATAAGAAAAATGTGATTGGGATTTTACTTTCAAACTATCAATCCACTTGTTTGATAGTGTATTTCCATTTCCAATATTACGGACTTTCCATGTGGCGTTTAGCAATGTAAAATTTGCCTCATAGATAACTGATGCAGTAAAGTTAACAATTTCAAGATCTGGAAGAGCTTGTTTTATATAAATTGTCTGGGAAAGATCGTTATTGTTGTCATTTGTGTACTCAAAAAGATTATTTGCAAAATCGGTAAAGACAAAAATATCATAGTTTCCTGAAGAAATATCTGGCGATACATAAAAGTCTATCAATGACGTATAAGATTCATCGGCTTGCAACGCTCCATAGTGCGACATAGTTGCAATATTTCTTCGCCAATAACCAGATTTTGAAACCAAACCCTAAATTAAATATAAAGCAAACGCAATGTTTTATAGTTTTGTTGAAATAATTAAAAGGCTATAAATTGTAAACGTAAAGGTAATCTAAAATTATTATTTTTTATGACCAAGAGTGTAACTTTCTGCAGTTCTGTATTTCTTCAAATGTTTATTACAATAGGGAAACAAATTTGAAATAATAAACAAAATAAATTGTTTAATCCATATTTCATGTTGATAAATGTAATGAGATACCAATTGCTGATAAATATTAGTAATTGATTATTATATTAAAACAAGCAATTATCATAGTATTGCAAGCAATCCATAAGTTCCCTACCGGTAAGAACCCTAGCAACATTATGATGGGCCATTGGCCATTCAATTATACCATTGAATGAATGAATGAATGAAAGAATGAATGAATGAATGAATGAATGAATGAATGAATGAATGAATGAATGAATGAATGAACTTAAATCTTTTGAGTTTTAAGTTTTGTCTGTATCATAGTAAAGTGTTGAGTTTCCCTGCCTAGTAAGGAAAATATGTTTATACAACATTTTATCAAAAGGTCCAATTTTTTGGGAATGAATAAGTATAACTAATGTTTAAACTTTTCTCTATTCTAAGTAACTCTATTTGTTGCAAAAAATCTTTTAAAGTGATCTCAGGAAGCAGTTTTTATGAACACAATGACAAACAGACTGAAGGTAACTCTAAAGTTATTTCTTTAAACATCCCTGTTACCATAATACAATATTTTTCAAAGCCAAATTCTGAAAGAGGAGGTAACTCTTGAAATAAAGATGCTAGATTTATGAACATTGTCATAATGCATGATATGAGTGTAAGAAAGAACAATTATTTTAAGTTTAAAATCACAAAGAAGAAAAGTAAAAAAATAGCAATTTTCAAATGTACCATTAACATGTATAGTAACAAATATGAAAATTAAAAAAAAAATATTATGTAGGTGTTGATAATGAATGTATATTTTGAATTTGGAGTAAATCGATGAAGAAATATGAAAGTTAAAGAATGAATAAAAAAATTCTAAGTTTAAGGAGGAGATAATTCTGGAAATATGGATTCTAGATTTATAAACCTAATCATATTATTATGATGTGGGATTTTGAAGTAAATCCTATAAAAATGAAGAATTTGGAGTAAAATATACCAATTTCTCGAAAAAAAATCTAAGTTCAAGGGGGACATAATTCTGGAATAAGTCTTTATAGAGTATTGAAGCTTCTCACAAATGTTGAGTGATAATACGAAACATATATATGAAGTACGAAGTAGATACATTATGAAATAGAAACATATATATGAAGTAGATACATAATGAAATAAAGAAGATATTTTAAAAAAAAAAACATTTTTTTCATGAAAATTCTAAGTTCAAGGAAGGTAATTCTGATAATTTTTATGCGAAAGTTGTAAACCTTGTCATATATGATGTGGTTGATGACTAGAAACTTATATTTAAAGTTTGAAGAAAATACCTTAAGAAATAAAGAGCTTATAGTGAAAAAGCATAAAAACTAGAATCAAAAATCTTGAAATTAAGTCTTTTTGTTGCCATAGCAACCAGAATTTTCAACATAGGAAGAAATGAAAAAAAATGTGCATAATCTCCAGGCTACCATCTACCATATTTCAAGTTTCATAAAAATATTTTCAGTACTTTTTGCGTTATCACTGGATCCAGTTTATGTGTTAAATTTGCCATATTTTCAGTCTATTTATTGCCATAGCAACCAGAATTTTCAACACAGGAAGAAAAGAAAAAGACGTGCATAATCTCCATATTGCCGTCTATCCATATATCAAGTTTCATAAAAATATTTTCAGTACTTTTTGCGTTATCGCGGGATCGAGTTTTGTGGACTGACGGACTGACAGACAGACGGACGGAGGGTAAACCTAAAGTCCCCTGCGGTTAAACCGGTAAGGGACTAACAAGTAATTACCACCAAATCCCTCCAGTAACTTTGTGACACGGGTGAATCATTTCCATTATTTCGCACTGTCCATGAAATATGTACAGTTTCCCCAGTAATCCATTTATTGGTCATATTAATCAGGATTACTTCAAGATCAGGTGGTGGTGTTAAAAGAACCTGAATCTTAAACATTAAAGCAATAATATAGAATTCATACAAGCATATAAAATTTCAAGAAAATGTTGGGCTCACGTGCCATCACAGTTGAACAGTTACATTAGGATTGTACTACTAATGATAAAACAATAAAGACACTGCATACAAAAACACGATATGTGTTGAAATAAATAAGAAACGTGAAATTTCTAAATCACTCCTTGTGTTTAAAGGTCATTTTGTAACGATATTATTGTATTTATAATATTACTAAATGTATGAAATTATAAAGTCGTATCTACAATTTCGACTAAGAATGAAAAGTATTACTTGAAACTAACATTACCTTTTTCGCTATCATGTTGTTTTTCTCTCCTAGGTGTTCAAACACATTATTAAAAACATCAGTTTCAATAATGAAATAGAAATCTCCATAAATAAAATCCGGTATTTTCACAAACATTGCCTGTGAATAATTTCCATTTTTGACTATGTTGCCATTGTGCCGTGAATCAGTCAAATAGCTTGTGCCATACCCTAAAAGAATCGGTCATTTATGAAAGTATATAATTTGAAAAATATTTCACTTGGTAAATTAATGCACAGGGGGCACTTAAGTAATTACCTATGACTGCGAATATAAAGGCATATTACAAATGTGGCGGGGTGCGTAAAGTAAACTATCGCAAAATGGAGATCGATCACTTAATCGTTCTTAATAAGTAAAACGCTATTGTTTTTAAAACTAATAACCATCAGTAAAAATAAGAAATTATTTGAAATGTCAGACGAGTTAAAAGACGAAAACATGTCGCAATCATAAGTCGTTGGTTTACACTGTACTTAGCCAAGAGTTGACAAAATCTTTACCAGTAAATTCAGTCTCTGACCACCATATTCTGTCCCACCACGTTGAACTCTTTGTAGGACCCCCTCCAGTATTAACAACATCCCATGTGAGCTTTACATTTGATCCTTAAGTAAATAAATCAATCATTTAACAGATAAATGAAGGCTATTAAATAGCCGAAACGTAAGTCTTAAATAAAATTATAGAAACCTGACCCACTTTGTTTCGTGTGTTTCACTTTCCTTATTCTTTTTAATAGATAAAATACATGTATACTTTTAAACTTTAAAAGGATGGGCATAAATTGGCACCTGAAATAATATCAGCAGATTTTGAATGACTGAAATTATCAGGATGACATTATTTTAAGGAATATATATTTTTCTATCTTGCATTAATAATTAACACTGGTAAACAATATTATACATTCGTCCGTATATTATTTCCTCTTTTAATCTTTGAAATATTAAATACTAAATTATTGAAATGTTTCAATTAAGACAATTATTCAAGAGTAATATCGATACTAAAATGTTACCGGAAAAGACACGTGCTCCAGGAAAATTTATTGATGTTACTTGCAGATCAGGTGGCGGAGTAAGTTTAACAGTTATTGTAGAAAGACTGCGCATCACGTTGTTTGATTTGTTTTGTTCCGTTATGGTCATATACATATCGGTATACACAAATATATAAGCATTCCCTGTTGTTTTCTCATCGAATGTAAATAGGGCAGAAGATGAATATCCGTCATTAGGGTATAATATATTCGTGTGGCGAACACTTGCTACAAGCTTTGCGTTCTGAAACTTATTGTCCCAGGAAAGGTAGATACCATCTGTCCAATGGGTATATAGCAATGTTAATCTCCCTTTATTCATAACTGTCCATTGCACTTTTCTACTATCTCCTGTGAAAGCAAGCGGTGGTATCGTTACATTGGTTACTGCAACATCGACAAAATGTCGGGTTTCAAAACTCCAAATAGGACTGAAAAATAAATCATTGTTTATATAATTGTATACAATTTGCCAATTGTACTTTGTTCCAGGCTCCAGCGTCGGGGATTCATAAAAGCTTTCAATTGAAAAAAAACTTGCTTCTTTTGATCTTTCAGCTCCTCGTTTCCAAATATAGATAGTATAGTTAGAAACTGATGGAGAGCTTTGCCAACGTAGATATATGTTTAAATCTATTCCTGTTTGTCCATCACCTGGAGATAATGGTTTCCTCGCTTGGCGGATTCTAAGTGGTTGGTTTACCGTTACCTTCCTACCACAATCATCATAAATTGTCCATGTACGATTGATTTTTGAATCGCATTGTCCATGATTAGGAGGTTCATCAGCGAAACTAAACTTGATAGGGATCCCACATGGGTGTTTAACTTTAAACATTGATGCTATCACATCAGTCATATTTTCAAGAGCACCGCATGCTACTAGTAGAGGACCTGGATATCGCACTAATTCAATATTGCTTTCCGATTTTATGTGAATTGTTTGCGAATACGTTGCCTTATTGCCGGCTTTATCAACTGCTGTCCAATTCCTTCTTAAAGCACAAGAATGAATGTGTTCATCCGAATAGTTCAAATGTGGCGATGTATCTAAATCGTCGCTTACCGAAGCATTACAAATACTCTCTGGTTTAAAATCATCTGCAGAGCAGTCTACAGTTAAGGAATGTCCGTTTTCACAAACCTGAATTTTCGGATCTTCAAAATCTGTAAATTAAGATGACTAAAGAATGTTTTAAAAAGTCCTAATTACATTGTCATAATTGTGTTGTTCTTATAGAGTTACTGAGTCACTCAATCGTCTTTACTTCAGATTTTTGATACCAAATGTAATGTTTTAACATTATATGACTTTTTTAATGCTGTCTTAGGTAGCCTTCAAATAAAATTAAGAAATAGCATCGGTCTTACCGGTGTTTATCGGCTATTTAACACCGGTTTGGAGTTTTGATGCGTAGGAATTGACCAAGAAAGCCGTAGGCCTGCGTGGTTAATTTTTTCGCATCAAAACGACAAAACCGATGTTAAATAGCCGATAAACACCGCTAAGACTGATGTTATTTCGATTCTAACAAGATAAAATAAGGAAGATCACTAATGTTATTTTTTCAAGCGGAAATAACTTCCGGTGCCGATTTTCGTATAACGATGTTCGATTTCGCACCCTACTGTTGCTAAGATAAAGAAATTATTAAACAAAAGCAATTATAAGAAAAAAAACGTTATTTTATTTCAACAATAAAAACTTACGTCTTACAATGGATTGTATTGTGTTTACATCAGTGCCCTATTTATCAATCTTGTATGTTTGAACTGACGTCTGCGTTTATGAATGAGATGTTTACTTAGAATGACGTCATTACGCTGCTTACGGATTGGCGCCGTTTTGTCAAAATATTTATTAACTATTTATATGAATCAAATATGTGGCGTCAGTGTATATGATATATTATTTCGGTATTGTATGGGGAAAAAACATTATAAGAACTGAAATATAAATGAAAATGTTTTTTATTGTTGCTTTAAAAGGAATTGTAAACTATATAATCGAGGGAGAAAACATAACAGCCGCATATACATGTAGTCCCTAACCAGTGTTTATTGGCAGTTTAACACCGGTTTTTTCTTCTTTGTCTATAGTGCAAAATCACGAGAAGTGTTAGAATTATGGATCAATATAAGATTGAACGAAGTCGATAACAGTAGTCTTCATTTGCCTGTCCCTGAACATATATATATTTCATATAGGGCAAATTTATAATATACATGATAATTATACTATTTACCAAGTTAACCTAAGCATATTCTTTCTCAAGACTTTTCCCAAACTGTCAAGGTGATCTTTGAATTAAGAATAATTAGATCTCTTAGGGTTAATATCTGGTCATTGACAATGGCATTACTAAATTTAATAAACAAAGGCTTATTTATTATCCATTTACAGATCAGACAAGGACCTTCTATAAATTGTCACTGCGACCTTGGCATTTTAACCGTATGACCTTAAAATTAATAATGGTCTCCTACTGGTCATGGACAATGTTCCTACATACTTTCACCAACAGATAAGTTTACTTTGCAAGTTATAGAATAATCAATAATTATGCATCTACAGGGCATAGGCAATGTTACTACTAAAACTCATTATCCTTCTCAAGTTATTAACTGGACAAGGATTTTAGACAGTGAATTATATATTGTTATATATAATCAGGGTAATTGACTGGCCATGGGCAGTGTCCTTACAAACTTTAGAATATTGATAGAAAAATGATTATAAAACAAATTGTTTATACCATCTTGACCTGTGAGTTAATGGCTCAAAATCAATATGGGTTACCTAAAGGTCATGGGAAGCTTTCATACAAAAATTTCACAAACTTTCGCCTTTTTACTTCCCATGACTGTGATCAGACAATGAATGATTTTACGCAACGATCACAATCAAAAGAAGTCATCTACTTGCATTAAGCATTGTCCTACAATGTCACATAAATTATGATTAATGCCATCTCTAGAAATTTTTCGGAGAGGGGTAACATGACCGACATACGGATCGACAAGCGGACGAACCGACCACCAAATCACAATATCCTCAGTGAAAGAGCTAATAAATAAATGAAAAAGTAAAAGTACACTCGCAAATGGAGACTTGCAAACAAAAACATTTAAGAGTGTCACCATAGACTTAAACTTTACACAAGACATACAGGGAAGAAGCATTTAGGGGCATCACCCTAGAATGGTCGTAAACACATCTAAAGATATCAATCGTACTCTCATTGGACCTTATTAAAACTTAAGTCGTAATAGTTAAAACATTCAATTGTCATGGTACATATATAAGTCTTATAGATTGTTTATTTTGTAAATATTATTTTAACTAGTGCCTTCATATGCACTTTCTAGTGAAATGAAGGTATGTTCTATACATAAGAAAAGGAAAATTGAAGGTATGTTCTATACATAAGAAAAGGAAAAAAAACTTATAATTGTGTTCAATGTAGTCAAAATGTTTAAATAATATTACCAGAAATCCATGTGACATGTTTTTCATTAGCATTGCGAACTTCATCGAAAGCTGTAATTGTCAATCTGAATGTGATATTAGAAATTGTCGTTGGCAAGGTCCAATGTAGTGTCGAGCTTGAGCAAACAACTGGATATGTGTTAGCAATATATGACACAGAGCATACCGTGGTACAAGGTTCCATACATTGCCATCTAAATTCAGCAATGTTTTCGTTACTATATTCATCTGGTTTATTCTCTATGATTAGAACTGGTGGTGTAGTGTCTGCAATAAAATGTATTTGATCAGGAGAACTATGAAGACATATGGCTGCAGCATTCGATATGAAGTGATATGTTGAATCTAATGCATATACATATATTTGTGAACAAATACTCTGGTTATAAATGATGTAACTGGACCAATCAAATAATTTAATAATACAGAAACATACCGTTTGATAAAATGCATTTATTATTGACTAACACTTTAAATAAAAGTACAAAATTGTTTTATCTTTAATAGGAGTGACAGAAATATAAGAGTTTTGTGGGACTGATAATCGGAATAAGTTGACCAAATCATTTTATTAAGTGGTCGTGTTTACTTGAATGACTTAATATCCCATTTTCGATCGGGATGAAAATGAAATGACTTCACTTACCCACATCCCATAAATGGGTTTTGGTTGCCGAGTTTCCTTCAATGTCTGTTGCCACAATTTTCAATGTATACTGTCCTTCTTTAAGATCCTCTTTTTTCCATGTGTTGTTACACGAGATTGTCTCAATAATGCTATTTCGATTACTTAAAGAACACAAAGTTGTTGCAGGTTCATTGACTTTCCATTGTATTTCAGCTGTTGAATTTGTTTTCATAGGGTATTTTAGAAATGATATAGTTGGAGGAGTGACATCACCTGTATGGTTCAATACATCAAAAAAATAACGAGTTCATCATTCTACATACAGTTGAATTGTATAACAACAGGTTAACCATATACATGTACATATATTTCTACATGCAGCAGATAAAGAAAAGTTCACATCACTATATCATTTACAGAGACATGCCGGGCAGTCTGCCTCAAACAATTAGCATTCATACGTGTATTGTCCAAGGCTGACCCGGAGGTCTTTACAATGCTATGAAATCGTTGAGTCTAAATCATAAACTAAGCTTTTCATTTCTGTCACTTCTGATCTCTATTAGTTCATACCCAGTATATTATTTTAGCTTTAGAAATTGTTTTAAAATAAGCTTGGGACTTTATATTGTTAAATGTAATGTTACCTTAATTTCATAATGTAACTTTTTTTGGGAGTAACACAATTTGATATGATGATCCAACTCTTTCAACGAGATTAAGTTTTGCTTAAACTAATGTATATACTTTAGTTTTTTGTCATTCTGTGTCATAAATATTGGACTTATTAATACTTTAACTGATGAGGCTTGGAAATGTTGACAAACGGGCGCTTTTCAACTATTTGTCTTTGTTTTCTATTCTGGGTTGGAACTTCCCCTTTCCAGAACTTTAGAAAATATTTTGGTTGTACTTTCTCAAATACTTGATTGATAATAATTCCTTTCTTTTAAATAAATTTTAAATATGGAAAATGTATAAACAATGAGAATAAAATGGAAGTTTATGGCTAAGATTTTTTATAAGTATGGCACATCCAATACATTATGTACTTTCCCTCTAAAACAGTTTTGAAAAATAATACTTACGTATTCTATATCGCCAAAATGAGGTATCAAGCACAGCTTCTGATTCCGCATGACAGTATGTAGTACCTTGAACAATACCTGAAAATTAACAAATGGAAATAGTTTCACATTACCTAAAAAACATTATATTAACATTTCTCATCATACTGATTATGTTATACAAGAAATAATGCTTCATTGTTTTAATATTTACAGCAATCAAAACATGGGTATGGTAGTTAAACATAATATTATTGCATTCAGCTTGAAAACAAGAGACAGATAGATCACAATTTACCAAAATCGAAGAGAAAATAATATGATTCTTTTTCTTCTAAAGTAGCTGACGTGGTAAAAGTAATAGTTTTTCCATTGATCTTGAGTTTATTGGTATCTGAGGCATCAATCTGTTCAAGCTGGTATCCCGTGCTGTTATACAGTCTGATGAAAGATGGTCTTGATGCCCGTAAAACCTGTAATACCACCCGCTGAGATGAACCAGTTCTTTAAATAATACAACTAGCACTTGCAATTCATTTTCCCGAAAAGTATTTACATGTATATAAAATGTTTAAAATACATTATGATGTATTTATAAATTTATAATTTATGTTATAGTAGTTAATCAACTTGATAGTATGGTATTTTTATTCACATTATTTACAAAAATTCTAAAGCCGATTTAATTTCATTATAAACAAAAAATATTTAGTTCTTGCAAATCCTACAAAGCGTGCCAAGATAGAATTGTCATAATTCGATATTAGTCAATATCTGGCTAAAATGTCTTAAATTTTGACCTTTTTAGTTATACCTTAATAGAATTCATAAAAGAACATATCGTAGAAATTTATAAAAGTAAAACAGAAAAATGTATATATTTTACATTTCCATCTGTAGATATATTCCATTCTGTATTGCTGGGATAGACTTTTCCTGCAGGCATTTGTGACTCTTTCAGCAGTGACGGAGGTGAAACTGAAACAAAATCTAATGTGTTACAGCAACGGCAGTCAAACTTAACCATACCCCGCTTGACTAAAAAGAGATTAGAAATTTCCACGGAGGTGCAGTCAAACCAGTCTCATACTGTTGGTGTAGTCAGTCCTAGATTCAATCTGAAATGCAAAACTCTGTATTGTCTCTAACTTACTGCAACCTTGTCTGAATATTTTTACGTATAGTTTTATTATTGCTTGCTGGCGATATTTTCATTTTTCTCTTTTTTTCTTATTGCACAACATTAATGCCATTTTGAATTTACAGATCATGTTCAAACATGATTATTATCTACTTACCACCAGCAAGTAGTGTTACACATCTCTTGTCACTCTCAGTTCTGAAAAATAAGGTTTATTTATAACACTTTTTGGAATATTGCAACCCAATGATACTAATACTTCTCTCGCTCTGCTGGCGGCTTCATAATATACCAGAATTGATGCGCTAAGTGCTCACCAAGATCACCAGGCACATTCTGCTGTTGATCATGAGCTGTGCTGTTCACTATTCTGTCGGTACATATTTTATGATTTTCCCTTAAATAGATAAATGGTCTTGTCCATATTGAAAGATAGACAAACCCATTTCTGGAAAGTGTTAAGCTCTATCAAACCGAGCCTGCAACATTTTCTATTTTGTCGTGTTGGGCTTTCTTTAGCGATTCTGTTTTCTCTCTGTTTAATATGTAGCTAGATATATTGCTGTTGAAAGTATGAAAATGCTCATGCCTAATGTATATTTATTGCATTTAACGAGTCGTTCCTTTCCTCTTATGTTTACATTAATTGTATGGAAAATAGCTAATCAGTGGTACAACTTGTTTGACAATTTCAACGCAGGATAGATGAAATTTCCTTTTATAGTTATAATGACATACCCGATAGAATTTTCGACAGCAGAAAAGCAAAATGTGTTCCTGACATCCCTATTTGCAGGTGACCACGTGATATTCATTCTCCAATCAGTTGTTGATACATTATATAGGTTACCCTTAGTCATACCAAGAGGAGATATTGTCTTGATTTCTGCTATACTAGAATAAAATTTTAATAATAACAATAAATTATTTAAGAAATAATATATCCCAAACTGTGATTTTATCGCTCAATAACATCACTGTTTGGAGTTCGGATGCGAGGAATTATATCACGAGGGCGTAGCCCGAGTGATATAATGATGCTCATCCGAACGACAAACAGTGATGTTATCCAGCGATAAAATCACCGATTTGGATATATTATTTCGATTCTAACACGACATAAACAAAAAAATGCTGCCGTACCTGCTATTAAGCAAAATTGTGCCTGATTTGTTTCCGTACTTATTGTCAGCGCGTCGGATTTTATAGTGGTTACGTCACATGTATAATGATTACGTCACATGTCTAAATATAGAACGTCAAACAGTGACTCTATTGCATAATAACACACACTTTCAGTTCTTCTATGTTCAATAGGGGAAAATGCTGGTCGTGTTAGAATTAATTATAACATTGTTAGGGAAAAATGTTTATTCATTGACTTATCAGATAACGTTAGAAAATACTAAAAATATTTACATTATATGCATTCAAATATTTTTATAATTTGTATATTACATTTAAAATGAAATATTTTCTACCTCCTATTCGCATTAACAACACGTGCAACAATTGCTACATGAAGGACTTTGTTGAAAGGTACGCCTATGCAAGCGCTATTTGGAGGTGTTGGATCTACAAACAGTGTAGTCTTTTCGCACGAACTACCGCCTTCGTAAACGTTAAACAGGAACTGAACAGGTATACTGCTGAGCGGTGTTGTCGAGTTAACATCGGCATAGTCTTCTACTTGAATTGGAACAGCAAACCATCCAGTCTGTTTGGCTTCGTATGTTATTGTACATGTATCCTTTAAAGTGAAAAGCCAAGTAGCCAAGTTTATTAAAACAAAAGAACAATTAATAAATTAAAAAGTTTTAACTTGCACAGGAAGTGTTGTTTAAAATTCTGCAAGTTCTGAATATATAAAGTCTTTTACGTTACTGTAATCAGTTCACGTGTTCGTTTACTAAAAAGATATTCGATCTTGTCCGAAGAATGTTTACCAAAGGAAAAGGGAAATCTCAATTTAAACATATTAAACATATATTTCATGTATTTATTACATTACAGTAACAGTTTCTGTCTTCCATTATAGAGACTCTATACATCAGTACGTGGTTCCGGTATATTCAAATTATTAAGCGTCTTGTATTAAACAGTAAGTTGCATAGATTTTGTTCACATTTAGACAAAAATAACATAAAGGATTCAAAACTCGAAACTGATGAAACACAGAATGATTAGACGATAAACTCATTTTAAACTATTATAGAATTACAGGCGATTCAAGCTGTTAACTTTTATAGTATACATAGTTTATTTATTTTTAAATCACTTACAGATTCTTCAATACGCGCTATTTGAAGAATAATACTAGCTATGCTATGGAGACAATAAATCATGAAACATAATTTTGTTAATTGGTAAATAATGTGTGTTGACATGGTCACTTACATAATATATATAAGCTTTTGGTGGACTTCTGCATACACTGCCACATTCATCTTTTAAAGAATCGGCCCAGCGACATCTCACAATGTCATTATCAGGATCACTTACTAAAATATTATTATTACCATATATAGATCATTCCAGAAAAAAACATTATGGTACGTGTTTGAAAAATATACTATCGGAAAAAAACAGAAGAACTGAGTTAGATTATTGGCTAGCAAAATGACATCGCATATTCTTCAATTGTATTCCAAAATTTGAATAAGAGGTGCTTCTTTATCACATTAACCTTTTATAAATTATGAACATAATTGGTTCTTAAAGCTGATTTGTATTTTGCCACCGAATGTAGCAAATAATTATTCCCTTTTACCTGGAAAAATCGTCAAATAGATTTCGGATTATATCTCAATTATTATTGCATAAGTAACTTAATGTGCCGATGTCTCCCGCTCCGGAATGTTTAGCTTATCTTGCAAGTCATTTTCGTTACCTGGAATAATAATGGAATGGTTACAACCACGTTGCAGTCGAACAATTGGAGATATCTCGGCTGTTGGCGATGAATTTATTCGTCCTATATCTGATCTTGTTTTCAAACTAGCTCTAGCCCGAAGCGTCCAAGACCCGCTAGATCCTACTACCAACGTGTTTATCCATGCACGTCCTTTAAATCTGTTTAATAAAAAGTAAAATTATGTCAGAATGCATATAAATGGGCATTAACTGGTATAATGTCTTAACAGAATTTACCTGCATTGATAGATTGATAATGTTTGTTAACGTCGACTTTTTAATTACAATGATTTGTAGCACAAAGAAATTGAAAACACCGCCTGTATAATGGTCTTGGAATGGCATACGCACCTTTCAAAATAATATTTTTATGTCTTAAAATTATTTATATTTATGAAGGTTCTACTCTCCACGTGTCGATTTCGTTTCTTACAAGTTCCTGTCTTTTGGTGAAATATTAAAAGTATGTCAGAATTTAAAACAAAATTGAAATTAAATGTTAATATGCTATGATTCTATGACGAAGAAATTCAAAAGTATATCAAACCCGAATTCAAAGTTTGAATGGCTATTAGAAGAATATAGCATGGCTGTTATTCGTCCTCTTCCGGATGACCAGTCTTCATTCTTACTGTAATCTGTACATTGATAAACAAGAGGTCCGAGAGAACCGTGGCAGTGTTGAAAGCACTCGATTGATCCTTCATCACCTATTTTAGTTCCTTGTTGTATAATGGTATCATTACAAGTAAATTTAGAACTGTACGTCATTCTCCATGAAATACGATATTCTATAATAACTTCATTCTGAAATAAAAAAAAGTTTTAAGATAGGGATTTTTCGTTAAATAATTATGTGTTTAAAAATGCATTCCGCCAGTAATCCATTAAACAATTATAGAGACGAGTAGTTTGTGTTTTGCTGATTGTAAGATTTTGAAATTGCCTGTTGACATAGCATTATTTAAAATATGGATTTTTTTACTCTAAAAGCCTGGAATTTGATTAATATACAAAGAAATAAATTGTACAAATAAAGCAAAACATGATTGTTCCAAATAGCCTAGCCCTTTTCTAGTTATGGAATATCTTTAAACTATTTGAACAGAATGCGACGCATATATAGACAACAAAAACAACAATACTATTAATAATAATTATATAATCGGACCATTTTGAATTGTACCCTTGACCATGGTAAAGGAAATTCTCCAGAGAACCCTAAATCTTCCTGAACATAATTATTTTTCCTTATTCTAGTGTCTCGTCCAATATAGATTGTATGGTTGTATACTCGTCTAATAGTATGAGGTGATCATACATTGTTAAGTGCGATACTGAATTATATTTGACGAGTACACAGCTGTTAAAACCTATATTGGTCGGCGCGTAAGGTGAGTTAGTAAAAGTTGTTTCGGCTGTGTACGAATCAAATAAATTAAGTACATGTATTGTTCCCAAGCATGTTAAAGGATTTCTTCATGTCATACCACCATTTTTTTTTGATATTTTGACAGATCTTTGTAACCTCATTTACAATAAGGATTTTACATAGATTTTCGGTCTCTCAAACATAAAATACGAGGATACATTGAGGATGACTTGTATTTGATATAGATATTTTGGACTCAAGAAATGAAAGCAAGGCCATATGGGTTACGATATGGATTTGTTATTAACATTTTGGACTCGGAAAATGACAACGAGGCTTTATCGGGTGTTACATAGATTTGATAATGGACATTTTGGACTCTGAAAATAAAACGAGGCTAAATTGATAATCTTGGATCCATTTTTTATTTTTCTCGACCATCATGTGGTGCAAATGATGAAAGTGCATTGGTGTGAAATAAAATTTATAATTGCGATGTATACTAGCCATATTAAAACAGCACGAACAAAGGAATGACATCATAAATAAATGCTTTATGTACAAAAGGCAACTGAGATTTTCTTTATTTGCGGGTTTTGTTTCTTAAGATTGACGATGATTTTAAGGACAATTTGTTTTATATCATATGCACTTTGTAAAATCGCTGTTAATCACCAGGACGCCTTTCATTTCAATATTTACGAATGATCTAAGCACCTGTAAATGGAAATCAATTGGCAAATACCATTCGAGTGTTTTATAATACAAAGCTATAGAGACTGTACATAGATATGTGTTTCTCATGTTTTGTTTTTATTAAGGAAATAATTTTTGAAAATTATGTGACTAAGTGTTATTCAAAAACCATATCTAAAGAACACGAAAACTATATTATCTCATGCAAATGCGAAAGGGGTGCATGTGTTTGAAATTGAACTTCCTGGTAAAAGATTATATGCATGAATTAAACTTTTTTTGTCCTTTTTTTTCTTTATTTAAGCAATAGTCTTACAGTAAAGTTAAGGATTTAAATGCATATTCCAAATACGAGCAGCATATATCATCTTACTTTAACTTTTCCTCTTCCTTGGCCTTATGAATTTTAATTTACTTCCATTTTCATGGAATTTTAGCTTATCTTTTTTATCAATGTGAAACTTGTTGTGTCACATTACTGACAGGTGTCCCTTCAAATAGTTTTTTAGCCTAGCAACAACACGAATTTTATCTTAAAATATTTTGAGTTGTTTAACTTTATTGTTTGCAAACATCTTCAAAAGAAAATACATAGTTGTGAAGAAAAGCTATTTGCTTTGAGTTTTTAATCTATAATTCCCGTTTCATATTTCACATTTAAAATGATGTGTTCAGTAAAATCATTTTGCATACTTCATATTCAAAAAAGCAAACATTTTTATGCATGTAATTTCTTTAGATATTTCATATGCCTTCTTACAAAGGCAGATTTCTTTGTTCAGAACTATTGAAAATCTATCTTTGGACACTGTTAATATGTTTTTTGTTATTACTATAGTAATACTATTGTTGTAGTATAATATATAGTACTATAAAAGTAATATACTAAACGTTGCTTTTAATTCTGATAATATTCTTATTAAATTGTCAAATTATATTTCACTATTGCATTTTCATGAGTTTTTTTTTTTTTTTTTTTGGAAAGGGTTATATTATACAAAAAAGAATGCAATATGATTTGAGCAGCATCGGGGATGGAAGGAGTAAACACAGCTTACAGATTATATATGAGATTGCTTTGATATATTGTAACACTGCATCTTTGTATTTGGCTTAACAAGCTCGGTGACTATATCAATTAACGTTTTTATAATATCAGGTCTTCTGAAACGTATGATGTATTAAAGTTGATCTATCGAATTAGACAAATAATTTTGTACACGTATAACACTATAATGCACTGCTACTTGTAATAATAAATATTGTACAGTTAGTTATTTGTTATCATGCAAGTACTTTGCCTGTTATCAATATGTCCCTTTTTATTTAGCATTGAATAATAATATTTTGGAAAAAAGGGAATTACAGAATTACATGTCAGTATGATGTAGATATTACGAAAGCCTAATAGTGTCAAATGAAATAAAAAATAATAGTGCAAAGGCGTTATAACGCGAATAAAGGCATTATTACGCGAATCAAAAGGCGTAAGAACGCGAATCAAAAGGCGTAGCAACGCGAATCAAAAGGCGTAATAACGCGAATAAAGGCGTAGCAACGCGAATAAAGGCGTTTTAACGCGAATCAAAAGGCGTAATAACGCGAATAAAGGCGTTATAACGCGAATCAAAAGGCGTAGTAACGCCTTTATTCGCGTTATAACGCGAATCAAAAGGCATAGTAACGCGAATAAAGGCGTTATAACGCGAATAAAAAGGCGTAATAACGCGAATAAAGGCGTAATAACGCGAATCAAAAGGCGTAATAACGCGAATAAAGGCGTAATAACGCAAATCAAAAGGCGTAGTAACGCACATAAAGGCGTTATAACGCGAATCAAAAGGCGTAATAACGCGAATAAAGGCGTTATAACGCGAATCGAAAGGCGTAGTAACGCGAATAAAGGCGTAGTTACGCGAACCAAAAGGCGTAATAACGCAAATTAAAACACATTATAATGCAAATTTAATACCATATTTATACTAATCAAATTCGCGAGAAAGGAAGACCAATATTGATCTGAATTTATTGCTCAAGATATAAACTCGTATACAATAATACAATATACATTTACAATAACTTTCATTCCATTTGCACAGTAATTATGCAAACTATTTGTCATAAACTAATAAAGACACTTTAATATTTGCCAATATAAGATGACTTGGTGACTTATAGGTTATAAAGTATTACCTCCTTCAAATAACAATCCTCCTATGAAGTTTGAATATTGTGGGCCAAATGGAACTTAAGTTATGCTCCCGAAACCAAATTGCTTACGGACGGACAGACAGACATACAGACGGACGGACGCACGTTCCAACATTTTGGGTTTAGGGGCTATTTTCTTTGTTATTTTTTTTTTGTTCTCTTAAGGGCTACTAGCCCATAAACCCTTTGATCACGGATTGAACCTATTGTTCTCTTTTGTTCTCTTTTACTGTTATATAGCCCCTAAACCCAAAATGTTTGCTCGGGACGTACGGACGCCAGGGGGATAACATAATATGCCCGAAAATTCTTTCGGGCATATAATAAAACGTACATCTAGATCAATTCATTTAAATCAACATTGTTCTTCCTTCCATACATTAATAGGCCACTGTTTGGAATTTATATGGTATTAAATTAGCGTTATAACGCCTTTTGTTTTGCGTTATTATGGCCTTTTGGTTCGCGTTATTACGCCTTTTGATTCGCGTTATAACGCATTTATTCGCGTTAGTACGCCTTTTGATTCGCGTAATTACGCCTATTGTTTCGCGTTATAACGCGAATCCAAAGGCGTAATTACGCGAATCAAAAGGCGTACTAACGCGAATAAAGGCGTTATAACGCGAATCAAAAGGCGTAATAACGCGAATAAAGGCGTTATAACGCGAATCAAAAGGCGTAATAACGCGAAAAAAGGCGTAGCAACGCAAATCAAAAGGCGTAGTAACGCCTTTATTCGCTTTATAACGCGAAACAAAAGGCGTAATAACGCCTTTATTCGCGTTATAACGTGAATCAAAAGGCGTAATAACGCGAATTAAGGCGTTATAACGCGAAACAAAAGGCGTAGTAACGCCTTTATTCGCGTTATAACGCGAAACAAAAGGCGCAATTACGCGAATAAAAGCGTTGTAACGCGAATCAAAAGGCGTACTAACGCGAATAAAGGCGTTATAACGCGAATCAAAAGGCGTAATTACGCGAATAAATGCGTTATAACGCGAATCAAAAGGCGTACTAACGCGAATAAAGGCGTTATAACGCGAATCAAAAGGCGTAATAACGTGAATTAAGGCGTTATAACGCGAATCAAAAGGCGTAATAACGCGAACCAAAAGGCATAATAAGGCAAAACAAAAGGCGTTATAACGCTAATTTAATACCATATAAATTCTAATCCGTGGCCTAGTAATGTAAGATAGGAAGAACAATTTGATCTAAATAAATCGATCAAGACGTACGTTTTATTTTCAATTCTGTACGGATACGTCCTAAGGCCACAGTCTGATTTTTTAAATCTTTTATTAGGAAATGCTTTCGTCAGATTAAAGGTTAACTTTCACCCAACTATAGATACTTTTCTACATAGACAAAGAAGGGAATGTCTCCTATAATTGTGATTTAACTGAAACACTATCCCCCATTTAAACATACTTATCAATAATCACCCTAATGTGACTAACTTATACCTTACGTTTTCCTAAATCTTGTTACCTATAGCATATTACCTATAGCTTAATTAGGAATGGCATTCACATAATTAGAAGAAACTAGATGTTATAAGGTAATCAAATAGGATATATCCGAAGATAATTGAACATATGACGCACATATAAGATAAGATAAGATAAGAAAAGAAAAGAAATTCATTTACTATAGTGACATGTGTAAAAGCAATATATGATACATGTGAATTCAGATTAACTGTATTTACGTCCAGTCCAATGGACCTATAAGCACCCAGACACCTTAAATTGGCAAATATTAAAGAGTCTTCATAAGTTTATGACAAATAGTTTGCATTATTACTGCGCAAATGGAATGTTAGTTATTGTAAATATATATTATATTATTCTATACGAGTTTATATCTTGAAGAATAAATTCAGATCAATATTGGTCTTGCTTTCTTACGTTACCAGGCAATTTGATTAGTATAAATATGGTATTAAATTGGCATTATAATTCGTTTTAATTTGAGTTATTACGCCTTTTGGTTCGCGTTATAACGCCTTTATTCGCGTTATTACGCATTTTGATTCGCGTTATTACGCCTTTTGATTCGCGTTATTACGCCTTTTGATTCGCGTAATAACGCCTTTATTCGCGTTGCTACGCCTTTATTTGCGTTGCTACGCCTTTTTTCGCGTTATTACGCCCTTTGATTTGCGTAATTACGCCTTTTGAATCGCGTTATAACGCCTTTATTCGCGTTATTACGCCTTTTGATTCGCGTAATAACGCCTTTATTCGCGTTATAACGCCTTTGTATTTTTATTTTTTATTTCATTTGACACTATTAGGCTTTCGTAAGATATTCTTTCTTACGAAAAGTAATATTTCATATTATATTTTGTCCATTCTTTTCAAGAATATCAGTTATCGTCTACGCTTATAGTTTTTTCTTAATAATAATGTAAGTAACATATCTCTTACAAATGTTTGGTTTTAAGAGGCATCGCCCAATACTATAGTGGGTTTGACTTTATTCAGCCATGCACATCAACAAAAATATTCACATTCGAAATAAAGTGTGTTTTACGGTGTCCATTTAGGGCTATCACGACACACACATAACTCGAAACAGCAAAACACGACATTACGATGGTGAAAAATCGAAATAACGAATAAGTTTGCAAATTGTTTGTAGGTCGCAAGTGCACACTTCGTTTGTTTTTTTACTACATTTTCATCAACTCCCATTGTAAGCTATAAAACATTCTCGAAAGCTATTTAGAGAGCGTAAAGTTACCGCCAGAATGTTAAACTCGGGATATTAGATTAATTTTGTAAAGTTAAAATATCGGTTAAATTTGCCTGCAAAAAGAAACTTGTAGATATTTACTATGAATTCAGTAATGTTATCAAACTCAAAATATTTAAAAATCAGATAGCTGTGGTTTTTCCATAACTACTGAAAGCTTTATATCACCGTAGGTAAGTTCAAACAGTTTTTTAAACATAATTATAATTATCTTCTTATAATTTGGTGTACGGAAAGAATAAGAATAAAATACTTCACCTTTTATGTATCCTCTTTCTTTTGCAGACGAATTAATAGAGAAATAAAACATATCGTTGTTATTTTCATTTTCTCTGTCATTATAATCATAACGGGACAGGAAAAGTTAAATCAGACGTTTTAATGTTAATAAAGTTTTTAAAAACGTCGGTTTTAATCTTCATGAAATTATATTTTACAACCATATTTCTTTATCAAAATTTGATAATTTGAAGTTCAATTGGCGCGAAGTTTTTAAAAAGTGACGACCAAATCAACTGAGACATTTTATATACATATGAATATTTTTGAATAATAATCACTTTTGTCTCTTCAATTTATTTTAATTACATTTTTTAATGATATCATTTCTTCCAAGTTGATTCAATTTCCATTAAATTTTGTTATGCACTTATTAACAAATGCTTTAAGTAATCTGATTTTAAATGTGTATATCTCCTTAACCAAAGCTTGAAATTGCACAATACCTGGTACGCAGTAAACTTACCATTGTCTTTTGTTGCGGTGTTTAATGAAATATGGGATGTAATGCATCAAGAGCATGGCCGCTTAAACTTGCAAAGAAGGTTTTTCACAGAATCGTAAAAATGTTTGTTTGACATGTAGACAGACGTTAAAAACTACGCGAATAGTTTGTCTTGGGGTCTTAATCCGGGTGAAATATCGTATTTGCAAGTTTGTACATTATTTCTTTGTAAAAAAACAACTTAATTTTAATCACGACTTAAAACGTCTAATACGCCGTTTTGTTCAGTATGCAAGGTTCTGCAACTGAAACTGAACGTAAGTGGTTCGGCCAGTTTATGATATATGATAATGTATACGTACATGAGGTATATTGGTACATGTTCGTTGCAACAGTTACACACGATTGGTTCAATTTTCCGGATCCTAATTATATTATAATTGATAGATGAAACTCTTGGTAAGGGTGTAGCTATATTAGAATGTTTCGTAACAAAATTGTTCCAAACCAGAACTGGCTGACTTTCTCCTGAAAAATAATTTTACCCCAGTAACAAAATTACCGGGCTGTGAGTCAAGCATACGTCTAATACGCAAATCTAAAAGTTTTTTGCGAATTTCAATTTTCACATTTACCTCGTAAGCTGTCTTTGAATAATTGTCGTGTAAATATCATGAAACAAAAAGGATATGATTTATTTTATGGTTGAAAAATTTTTTAATCGAAAATCTAAATGTTGTCAGTACCGTTTGAAAAGGAAATAAAATATATCATAGGGCACTTTTCAGTTCATTCTATACATGTACCTCTCTCTCTCCCTCTTTTTTTCTTTTTTTCCATAAGTGTATCATTTAAAAACAATCTAAGGGTATATTGAAATATTATTATTACAAACTAACACCGAATGTTGTAAATGAACATTTGCAGGGTTTTCTAGAAAAAATACAAAAGAATTACCTTATTTGTCCCTGGCTTCCATGTTATTATGGCTCCTCGAAAATGTGATCCCAAAACACTTACAAGGACGAATACTGTCAGAATGACAAATACTTTCCACCATTGTTTCAACATGATGCTTTCATATCGTTAATGTACAATACAAGTATGCAAGACAATTGCGACTGTGAGAGTGGGTTTTCAAAATACAAATGATAAAAATATGACTATTCCTCAAACTTAAAGAGATAAAAATAAGGTTTTGAAATATCTTGTCATTTTGAAGTGGAGCGTCATTTTGTTTAACTTTTTATCAAATCAAACATTGAGTGAGTATTGAGTCAACAATTCTGTTTAGGCCAAAATATATTATCCTTTTTTTTGCAATAAAATATGTTAAAATCAAGTTATTCACGTATTGAATTGATTTATATAATTTATTTATATGATTTGATTGTTGGTCATCGATACTACAGAAATTTGTTAAAAAATAATGGAAAAGGACCGCTTGTCTTTTCTAAACAATTACGAGCTGACTTTTGTATTGTCAGCACAATCTAACACATTTATGCCATATCTGATTGGTGAAACAATCTGTAACATCTTGTTGAATAAACCTTTTGTTAGATCTTGTTCATAAATTATGTTGGCAATGTCTTGTTGATAAAACACAATTTGAAAATAAATAAAACTTTTACAATATTTTAAAATAATGAGAATAATTATGCTGAAAAGAGAAAGTGAGAAATTTTCAAATTTAGGCATAAGTATTGGACGTAAAAGTATGAGAAATACAAATTTATAACTCATCCATTCTGTTTTTTCTTCTGTCTTATCAAGAATGTCACTTCAAACAGCTTTGTTACATAAATTCATCTAGAAAGTAACTGTACGTGCTTTGATGCACCATAGATATTTAACTAGGATTTACCTCCCACGAACACAAGATAAAGATTACTATAAAAAATAGATTAAATTGGTCAGGCGCGCGACCAATTTAATTTTGTAAATACGTTTTTATAAACTTGAACCATTTTTTTAAATTAGTTTTATAAACAGCCGATTTACTAGACTGGTAAACAGTTTGCCGATTTACCAAAGTAAATGTGTTACGATTCATTTGAAATTATGCAATCCAATTGGACAAAAAAAATAATTAAAAAAAACTAAATAATATTATCGATCTATTCCTAAGTATAAATTTTCTTTTCCAAGTTCGTAGTTACTTGCTCTAACGTTAAAATTCCATTCGCAGAAGGTTGCAATCTTTTTTATTCACCATCACTTCTGCAAGTGCATAAAGGTATAGCGATTTTTTCTCAAATTACGAGTATTGACTTAAAAAAATTTTCACGACGGGTTGCAGTCTGGTCACATTTCTTAAAAAGTATGATCACTTGTAAGTTATACTTGTACATATTCTATAACTACTAGCAACACCTTCACCTGACTGCATATACGGGTCCGGACATAAATATAACCATCGGCAAGCGCCTCGAATCATATGTACATTGTATCTCATTCAGGGGATATTCTCCCATATATATACCCACACCGTACAATCAAATGGGTAGACAACCGATCAACGCGTCGACAGAAGTACTAGTATATACAGGTCGGTATAAAAACATAATTGACGGACGGTTAGTATTTATCTATTTTAAACATACCCCAACTGTGTTCGAATAAATCAATGTTATGGATTCATAGTCAATATCTTAAGGAGCCTGCTTAGAAATTTCTGGCCCTGTGCAAGCTTTAGTTTATGTGAATTTTGATTTAGAAAAGCCGTATTTTCCAATGAGATGCAGCATTTCATTTAAAAAGTCACAGAAACTTAGGTTCCTAATGATAATAAATCATTTTAAAATACGAATCGTAAACTTTAACATTTTGTCAAAATATATTTTAAACCTTACCTTCAAACATGTTTTTTTTTTTTTTTAAACATGTGCTCATTTCGAAAATATATAAATTTATGGTACTTTGTAATGGACCTTATGCTTACGAAATCCATCCACACTTCAATAATTTTTAAATTGTCCGCCATATAAAATGGTTTATTTTATTGCATATCAAATTATTTAAATTATGGTTATTTGTTAGTTAATTTTACTTATGATCATTTGAATAAATTTTGTTCTTCTAAATTTCTATTTCTATTTGCTATTCTTTTTCATTTCATTTTTGTTCCTCTCTTTATAAAGAAACAAACTACACGTCAAGTGATTTTTTTTAAATTTTATTTAACATTTTAATAATCAAACTATTTAAAACAAACTACGATTGCGAAATATTAAAAAATTGAATACATGGATCATTATATAACACACTTCATTTCATTGTGTTTTTTTTTTTTTTTTATTTTTTTATATATTTCTGATAATTCTTTTTCCTGATGTTTTCTGGTTTTCCCCAAACATAACACAACTCCATATCAACCCGTGTACTCACAATTGTGACTATTTGAAACAAAACTGGTCAGATAAGAAAAAGAAAACAGTCAAATGTATTGGTACCCAACCATAATACGAGCATCTTTATGCATGACACAACACTGACACGGACGCTCTGCCTACTTGGCTATCAAGGCACATAAAAATATCATAATACTTTTTACTTTGTGTTTTATTTATTACGCTTCAGTCTGCTTACTTATGTTTCGTATTGTTATAAATCTGTATGCAAACAAAGGCCGGTTAATGTAAAATATATAGTTTGTGCATATAAAACGTTTTTGAAACGTTCATGTTTGGCAAAAATTACAGTTATTTTGTTATATACATAGAATGAAAATGAAAATATACTTTAAAGTAAAAATTTTCTAATATATGATCCTTTTAAAATCCGATAGCGGATTTAAAAAGACGTTAACTGATAACCCGCTTGGTTTGCATAAATATTGTTGTATATAAACTAATTCAAGACATGTTTGTGAAAATAAGCCTTCTTATTGATAGCAATAAGGCAATGGCATATGTTTTAAGTCTGCCCTTCAATAAAACGGCGGACAACTCTTAAGAGAAGGGGAATCTTGTTATGCACGGTCACTTTCCATAAAATATGTCCTCAATGCATGTATTTGGTCGCATGGTCGAACATTTCTAATATAAAAACAATGTTTTCAAAGGTGTTTTTGTATCGAACAGTCTTTTACAAAATCTGTATGTTCTTAAAAAAAATGTTATCAGGGGTGGCCATTCTAACCGGCCCGATCTTTTGAGTGCTACAGTAACGTCCTTTTGAACCCTAACGCCATTTGCACTGTTATTAAGGGAGGTCATTCTATCCAAACTCGATATTGAGGACAACAGTATCCTCCCTTTTAAACCATTACCCCATTGCAATGTTATCAGGGGAGGTCACTCTAACTTGCTCTATTTTGTAGCATGCCTTTAACCGAGTAACCTCCCTTTGAACCCTTACCCTATTTGAAATATGTTTTAAAGTTGCCCGTCTATTTATTGTTATATCATGAATTAAAAACGCTTTTTTCAAATTTTCCATAACTGTCGGCCTTCCGGCCTTCTTCGTCAGTATTTATTATATGTACAGATATATTCAATCAAAACAAGGGAAGTAACGTATTGTCTGATTTTATTGACCTGTCAATTATGAATACATAATAGCACTCATTTAAATATTCGATTCCACTCCGGTCTTGTCGTAACGTTTACGAGAATAAATATGGAGTATATAACTGATGTTTGAAAAGTCGTACCTGCTTAATGTAAAGGTCGTGGTCGGCATTATTAATTTAACCCGAATGAATTTTAAATATCAGTTCTTAACCCATTTTATTATTATATTACCCATTACATTACTTTATCGTAATAAGTGCAAAACATTATAACAAAACGAACAACATAAAAAAGCGATCATATAGCTTCAGTAATGTTGAAAATACAAATAAAAAAGCATGGGCCTACGCCATGTACGCGGTCTCGATCTAACAACACGTATGGAACTCAGAAAATATAAACTTGTTGTTCGCTCAGTACAATAACTTCACAGATACAAATTAAATTAAATCATATCTTATTGCGTACATCTTACGGAACTTACCGAAAATGTGTCGAAGAATAATATATTGTGTGCATTGACCGTATAATCAGTATGCAATTGACAGGTTAATAAAATCAAACAATAACGTCAGTGAGCGACAATTGATTATTAAAGACCCTTTTTAAGTACGATTTTTCCTTAGCAACGGATGTTGCATTTCGCGCATATGCATTCTGCGTAGGGCAAAAAAGCAATAACGAAATATTATATTTTAGCATACTTAAAGGGATACTCAGGCAAATTAATAGCTTAAATATTAACATGATCTTATGTACTCACATCACGCTAAAATGAGATTTTTTTTAAAGTCCCAGGAAGAATTTCTGTATAAAATATATATATTTTGGGTTTGAAGCGTAAATATATCTATATATGTTGAACGAAATTTGGACGCCGACAGAATCACGGAGTAGTTTTAAAACAAGTCATGTGACTTGTGATGTTGTGGATATTGTATAACTTAAACAAGTCTGTCATTTATTTGACATGTTCTTTAACGTTTATAGAGTAGACTGTGACAACTTTTATGAAATATTAATGCTCTATCCTGACCCACGTGGGTCTAGTTAGGAAACTAGCATTTTATTTTTATAAGGAGAAAGGTTTGTTCCTGTGACTGCCTGGTGTATTTATTTTGAGGACATATACAGAAAAATGAATGAAAAATTCAAAACGAAGAATATTGTCTCCCTTTTAAGGCTTTAAAAGACGTGATTTCAAGTTATTTCACATAGGAAACAGAAATTTTGGGATGAGTACTTAAAACTCGAACTGATATTTATAACAAATATACAAAATTAGCGGGACTAATAATTCAATGACCAAAAGTCCTCTGTTTAAGGTATCATAAGATGACTTTTTCAGTAGTTATTTAAATTGGAATAGCAGGTTGTTAAAGATAAAATTTTATTACCAGTGTATTACAATATATTACACAATTGGGACGCCTTTGAAAATGGATTGGCAAGGCGGTAATTAAGTGTCAAACAGATTGACACGTGACCGGTTGTTATTTGCCAGCTAGTTTACAATATCATTCAACCGGGACGTTTTAATACCGGTATAGCATAGTTAATTATGTAAAATTATGAAAATTGTAATTTAAGTAACTTTTATTTTTACTAATCTAATCAATACATTACTCAGTTCATTAATGT